TACTGGTGTCTAATCATAACGTTTCAGATCGGATGTAAAGACAAGACTTTATTGTCTGATCATTTTTTTTAAATAAAAATATATTCAAGTGAATCGTATTTTTTCTTCATTTCCCTATTACGTATCATACCACCACATGAAAATTTCAGTTCCTTGAAAAAGAGAGGATGAAGACAAAAAATATCTATGATTTTTAATGAGTCATCATACAAAAACAAGTAAATAGCACATTCCGTTTAGCATTTAACAGCCTTCTCAAATATATCAATTGCGAATACAGCTGAAGATTCGATGCATTCTGTAGAAGAAAGAGTTTGAGTCTTCTCGTTATTATTTTATAAAAAAGCGAGGTACATTTCATAGAGAAACATTTTGAAAACTAGACGGTATTCGAGTTTCAATCGACTACAAAATGACGATTTTAAGGTTCTCACCGATTTTTAGCATTCACAATTATCATAGAATAGAAGGTGTGGATTTAGATATGAATAAAATACACTCACATCCACACCCCACTAAGTTTTCTAGAATTGATTACTGCTATTCAAATTATATACCACGCAGAAAATAATATTTCACTGAGCAAAACATACTGAACATGAGATGGAAAAAATAATGAGCATTCGCAATAAAATACTGCAAAAATATATGCCTTTTTTGAAAATTAAAATCTAATAGTAATAAGAAAGATAACGATACTATGATAATACGCTAAAATCAGAATGAACAGTAGTTCTTTAATATTAAGTAACACAGTGCAAGTATTTCATTTGTTTTTATTTAATTTGTTTATGACCTTTCACAAGTGATAATATTGATATTTATTAGATTTTCAATAAGAATTAAAACTAACTAACAAAAAAAACTAAGATAAATTAGAAGAATCAAACTAAAATGATTATTGTTTGTTCAAGAAACGTATATATTGATGATTTGAAAATAATACATTTAATAGCAAACAAAACTAAAATAAAATGAAAATTTTCTTTCGTTTTTTGTAAGTTAATTGATTACTAAATTACCGTATTTATTTTCTTTGTTAATTATTTTAATAGACTCGCTACATAGTTGCACATGCTGAAAATTTGCTTTTCATTAAATAACCAAGAGAAATGGCTATCGCCATACATTTGAAATAATTGGATATATTCATGATTCACTAGTGTGTCAAGATTATTAAATGATGTATTGGTGTAGTATGAATAGAATTCTAACTGATCGTTTAATATAACGTTTTCATCCATCTTGTTAGCTTTAAATAATATAAGGTTTGTATTTCTGTTGGTTATGTTCAATCCAAATGGTTCATTGTCTATCATCGGTAAATAAGAGTAGTTTATTGGATCGACGATATCCACTTTATCTATTTTATCAATTTCGAAAGAAGCCTTGCGTGCATTAAAGTATGAGTCGATCATAAAAATATTACTAACTTTCTCGTCAGCATTAATCAATTGGCGAGAAACTTCAAACGATAAAACGCCGCCAAAACTCCAGCCTAGAAAGTTATATGGACCATCATGTTGGATTTCTTTTATATACTTTATGTATACAGGAGCTAATGTCTCGAACGAGAAGCCTTTTTCCATATTTTTTGCTTGAAGATCAAGATAGTAGTTATTGAATATTACCAGTTTATATTGGGATAAATGAGGCACAATGTTGTTGAAGTAGCTTTCAGCACCACCGTTACCAGGCGGCAAAATGAACAAAATATTATCGCAACTTTCATTGATCACAATAAACGGATGCTTGAAAAAATCCTGAGACAAAGCAGTAATGTCTACAAGAGAAATCAGTGGGTTTATATTTTTGATGGATGTTTCTTAATTTAAAGATGTTTTACCTTGATTGATATGTAGTGATTGCCATAGTGTTGTCTGCGTATCATTAGATGGAAGTGTTTGAAGTAGTTGTGCATGTTGTTGAATAGTTGATTGTTGAAGAAATGGAGCAATCGAAAGTGTATGAGTATCAAAGTCAAATACTGATTGATAATGATGATAAAGTTCAATAAATAAAAGTGAATGACCACCAACACTAAAAAAACTGGTAGTTCTAGAAATGTGGTTTTCATTAGAATGAAGAACTTGACACCAAATAGTGTGTATACGTTCTTCGAACTGATTAAGAGGAGTATCAGATTTATCGGAAGATAACAAAGTCGAGAAAGAGAAGTCTGGTGACGGAAGAAGTTTTCGATCTACTTTTCCGTTTGGATTTAAGGGTAGTTTATCCAGTATAATGAATATTGATGGTATCATATGTGGTGGAAGATGAGATTGACAATGTTGGCGTAGTTGTTCTTCATTGATATGAGAAGATTGAACATAAGCAACTAAGTAATCATCTTTCCATTTCATGACAACACAAGCAGAAATAGATGTATTGAGTAAACATCGTTCGATTTCACCAAGTTCAATTCGTTGTCCATGAAGTTTGATTTGATGATCTTTTCTTCCTTGATAATAAAGAAGACCATTGTCATCAATTCTAACAAGATCACCTGTTCGATAAAACAGTTCACCATCTATTTCAAGAAGAGTTTTTGCAGTTAAATCATCACGACCAAGATATCCAGCAAAGACACCCACTCCACCTATGAACAGTTCTCCTTCTTGATTGATCGCTGATGATTGTAAATATTGATTCATAATCATACATCGATAATTTGAAAGTGGTGTACCAATTGGGATGCTCTGTATACCATTTGTGGCGTTAATACGATGCCCTGTACAAGTTATAGTTGTTTCAGCTGGACCATACAAATTCCATATAATATAGTTTTGTAAACCGATTTTCACAATCAAATCAATTAAAGGAACAGAAAAAGGTCCACCTATAATAATGAACATATACTAAACAAAGGAATGAATTTCGTTTGGAAGTCACTCACCACCGCTGCAAAGTGATCGAAGATATTTCGCAGCATGTACTTTCTTCTTATGCTCGATAAAAATGAAAAAACTATGCAATAAACTTGGAACAGTGCTAAGATATGTGATCTGTTTTTTTTGTAAGACATTGGATAAATAATCAAAATCAGTCATTCCGCCTGGATGAAGCATAATCACTGTACAACCAAACAGTAAGGTACCAAGTATTTCTTGAACATGAATATCAAATGAACATCGTGTCATTTGTACAACTGTGTCGTCTTTATTCAATGAGTTAATATAAGTCAAAGAATGCATAGAATCAATGAAGTTCTTATGACGAACTTGAACCTATAAAATAGCATGAAAATAAATCAGAAATTAGAAAATTAAGTGTCACCGAACCGCTTTGGGTGTTCCAGTCGAACCACTTGTGAAAATAATGTAGGCTATCTCTTCATCTGTCATTATCACACTTGAAAGACCTTTCTTATCTATATCGTTAATATTTAATATCGAATCAATATTAAGTGAAACTATATCATCATCGAATTTGGTTTTAGTTAAATCATGAACAAGAACAAGACGACTTTGTGTTTGTTGTATGAGTGCATATAAACGATGTTGTGGATCTCGAGGTGATAATGGACAATAAACACCACCAGCCATTTCAATCGCCATTATACCAATCACCTAATCAAACATCAATCTCATATTTACATCAACAGTCACTCATCTTAATATAACTTACCATTGACAAACTTCGCTCAACACATTGACACACGATCTCACCTGGAAACACATGATATTCATTAAGAAGAGTCAAAGATAACACTTGAGCATAATATAGAAGTTCACAATATGTCAAAGATTGTTCATCAAGTTCAGCAGCTAGTTTTTGTGGATGCTTCATTACTTGATAAACAAACTCATGATGAATACAAGTGGCAGGAGATGAAAATGATATTTGTGTATTATTCAATGATTGCATTAGATATTGTTCATTTGATAATGTTAATGATAGCTCATGAATATGTTTGCTTATTTGATTATGAATAATATATGCAGATAATTGGTATAACATTGTCTGTAATCTTTGTGCAATTATGCAAACTGTTTCAGCATTAAATAAATCAAGCGATGCATTAATGGTGCATGAGAATTCATTTAGATTGAGATCATGTTGAAAACTAAGAATAAAATCAAATTTACTCATTATTTCATCTTCACTAATCTTGATTGAATGAGGTAGTAAAGAAAATTGGCTATCACCAATCATTATTTCATTCTCCTCATCTTTTGTCGTCGACGATAGAAAGTCAAAGGATGTATCAAGAAACACAGGATTAGATATATTTGGATGTTGACTGAGAATACGTTGAAGTGGAAAATATGAATATTTAATACAATTTATCATATTATCTTGAACATGCTTAGTGACTTTGTGAAATGATAAATGAAGATCGAGCTGACATCGCAAAGGTATAGCATTCACAAACATTCCAATAATAGAGCTAAGTTCATCTCTATATCGACCATGTGTATTTATTCCAATGCATAAATCTTTTTCTCCATTCGTTAATTGAAACAAAAATACATAATAAGTAGCAAGTGCAAGATGTTCCAGTGATATATCATTTGATGATGCATGAAGAAGAAAATCATGTGAAAGATCTTGACCAAAATCAAAAGAAATAGATGTTCCACGACCAGTTCGATGTTCATTTGAGAGGCGATATCGATCAAATGGTAATGGTAAAGGTTGATCAAGTTTACAATCATGAAGAACATCAAGCCAAAACCTACTTGCATCACTCATTGGCATTTGTTGTTCGATAACAGCATCTACATAAGTAAAAGAAAACAATGTATTAGAAAAGAGAAAAGTAGAAGTAGTATTTATATTTACAATCGAGATAACGAAGATTAGTGTTGTCATCATATAATAATTGACCTGTTGTATATGCTTGATTGAGATCATGAAGAAAGATATTCATTGATGGGAAATCAAATAGAGCATGATGGAAGTTAAAGATAAGTATATCTTTGTGAGAAAGAAGATGATTTGAAGAGATTTGCTGGTAATTAATAATATGACATCGAAAGACAAGACCTTGAGCAAGATCAAAAAGATGAGGATTACGTTTCTCGTCGTGTAAAATCTGATTCAGTTGTTCATCTGTTTGATAAGTAGTTTCGATGATTGAAAACAGATTACTGTTATTATGTTTATCTTCATGAGTAATAACTCGTTGCATAAGTAGATTCTTTTGAGTATCATAATGAAGTGATGTATGAAGTGAGAGATGTTTGTTAACGGTGAGATGAAGAGCATGACGAAGTTGTTTAATCGATAAATTATGACCTGGTTGCAGACGATAAACAAAAGGCATATTATAGATTGCTACTTGTGGCTTGTCTGGATCGAACCGAATTCTTTCATCGAGCCATATACGAGCTTGTGCAAATGATGCTGGTGCTAGAATGATGAGGATTTAGTTAATTATGATGTATAATCTGGATGGCCAAATAATGTTTGATAAAATAATTCTAGTCATATTTCATCAAATCCCCTGTCTAACTGAACAGAACTCGATAGAAAGATTTTGACCTGAACTTTTTATGCCTATTAACAATACTATGTAATGGTTTTATGTTAATCTTTATATAAAAGGCACGATAGTTTGGCACTCGTATTAAACTGGCATTAACATAGTGTCAGTACGGACGGCTCTCTAAGAAAAAGTAAACTTGTTTACTGTTAAGAATTCAGCTTTTAGTAATAAAACAGTGTTGTTTTTTGTGAAAGTCGGCGGCATATGCATGATGTTAATATGAATTCAATGTGAATGCCAAACTATTGTTTTTTTTGCTACTATTAACATAGAAGAACCATGTAGTTTTGTAAAATTCTAACAGATAGTATTAATGTTTTATTAATATACGAATACTTAGCTGATAGTCTCATTTGATACTATTGTTAGTTCCATATAAATCTTCCTTATTCACTGAGTAAATCAAAGTTATTTCTCTAGCTCATTCTAATATACTTAAATATTTGATAAGTTTGTTCATGATGATATGACATCTTTACGTGTCTATTGATTTTGTCTTCTCTTTTTTTCCTTTTGTACCTCTTTCATCATATAGCCCTTAAGTCACCAAACAGTATTACAATACACTTGAAACACATATATAAGGTTACGTGAGGCAATCGCTATATAGTTACTATATAAAAATTTATTTTGAAATAGATTAAACGGTTGTATTCTTTTGACATATATTACTAAATCACTAAGAGCTTTAGTTACTAGTCTGCAACTAAAATCTCAGTAGCTGTATTCGAGAATAGTCTGAATAAAATATTCATATAAAATAAGGTACATTATGAATAGGAATATGCATAATAAAAGCTTCAACTTCAAGACATATATGTGACATCTTTTATGGCATCATACAACGATTTAATAGATATCTAAATAATTTCTAAGAGTTATATACCGCCAATGTTTGACAATTTCTACAATCTGCACATGTACATCTAATCAGTGAAAACAACAAAAATATCTTTGTATTAGCTTTATATATGACGTGGAAAGAAAACAAAAGCAAATGGAAATGTCTGACGCAAGAGAACTATGTGATGCAAGTGTTTTATGATTATACGACCCGACTATGATTCTGAAAAGTTTCTTCTCTGTGATTCCATATCCGACTACATAAATTTGTATTTTTCACCTCGATCTCAGTTTTGACACTCAAAACATTCGAGAACTTATTACTGATCTCTAGAGCTCTATCACATACTTAGTACCTAGTTAACTTAGAAGTCAAAAAGGACTAGTCTCGACATTAACAAACTCTGAATTTTACCGACTCTCTTCAACAGCCTGAGTAACTTAAGTGTGATCTGTTTTATGGCATGAAATCTACGAGGGTATGCTAGGTCTAAGAGAGTCCCAGTTTATACATAAACAGGCTTATGAAATATTCTACTATCATAGTTGTTCTGTTTCTTAAAATGAGATATACAACTTTTGAGCAACGGCAAGTGTTATTTTCTGTTGATTAATATAAAAACACAAGACTATTCACATATTCAAAGCAGATATTCATCAGAGATCGTTAGAATTTAACTTCGATTTCTCTCATGAAAACTTTATCGATGAGCCCCACTCCAACTCACTTTCAGCGTCTTCAACGATATCTCTTTAAACTTTACAAAACTAGAACACCTGAAAAAGACAACCTGAGCGATTGACGATCACAACTCGTTTCAATCCCTATATTTCTCATGACTGATTTAACTAAATACTACTTTTTCAAAACATACGACAGGTTGCATACAATCATACCTTCATTCACAATATTCTTCAACCGATGAAATACGACTAACTCCATTTCTTCAGCTTCTTCAAGAAGAACAAGAGACAGTTTGCTAATAGGTGAACTCATATCAATCACAGGAATGTTGCTTGGTTGTGTTTGAAACATTTGTTCAAACATATATTCAAATCTTTGAGCTATTTTTGAAATAGTTGATTTTTCAAACAAATCATGTGAACAAACAAAACGACATGATAATCTCTTGTTATCTGATAATGGATTGTATACAAATATTAATGAAAAGTCAAATTTAGACACTTCAGCTGATTGTTCTATAGGTACTTGTTCTAAATTAGCATCATTCAAATTTAAATGTTCCATATCTTTCGATACACTAATAAAATCAAACATTATTTCAAGAAATGACACATGTGGTTGATTTAATCGATTATCATCAAGAATATGTTGTAATGGATAATGAGAATGTTGAAGAATCGATAAACATTTATCGCGTACATATTTGACTACTTCATTAAATGACCAATAGGGATCAAGTTCAACACGATATGGTAATGTTGATACAAACATTCCTATCATACTCACTAATTCACTTCGATATCGATTAGCATTGATAGAACCAATACATAAATCAGTTTGTCCATGAGTTAATTTGAATAGGAAGACATAAAATGTGGATAATCCAAGTTGAAATAGTGTGATATGATGTGATGATGCATAATTTAGAAATGATGTGCATAGTTCATTATCAAAAGTGATTTCAGCTGTGGCTGCTGAACCTGATCGTTGTTGATTAACTGATGAACGTTGTCGATTAATCGGTAATGGTAATGAGCATTCCATATTGTAACCATCAAGTTGAGAATGCCAGAATTCACGAGATAATGTCATATCCATTATGTATTCATGAATAGAATAATCAATATATTGTAATGAATTATCATCTGCAAGCAACGAATCATTAGATTGATAAGCAAGAGAAAGATCATGAGTAAAGACTGATGTTGATGCTCCATCAAAGCAAGCATGATGAATAGTAAATAATATGAGATCATCTTTAGTCAATAGATCAATATTATTCTGAGTGAATGAATGATTTGATTGATCCTGGCGGAGAATGTAACAATTAATAACAGAGCCATTTGATAAATCAAATAAATCTGATTGATTTAAGATCTTCTTTACAAGTTCATCCTGTTCATATTCTTCATCAGAGAAATTAATTATTGAAAATTTCGATGATTGTTTCTCATCAAAAATAACATTGTTATCTGAACAATGTTGTATAATAGTACCATCTGTGCCAAGATAGAGTGCTGTTCGAAGAATTTGATGTTTTGTAATGATAGATTGAAATGCATGTTGTAATCGTGAAACAGATATATGATCATTCATAGATGAAATACGATAGATTAATGGTATAACATACATGTTAGTATTATTATCAGCTGTTGATGAAAATCGAATTTGCTCATCTAAGAAAATACGTTCTTGAGCAAATGATGCTTTAGCTACAATAGGCGAATAATATATAGTTAATAGAATATTCTTAAACATTCTATCTTACCTTTCATGATATGTAATGAGGACCAATTATAGTTATTGATATCTCCTTTCATATTGATAGTTTGATAAATGAGTTGAGCATGATCAATAATTGTTGGATGCTGAAATAAGTGAGTAATGGAAAGAGCATTTGTTTCTAAATGAAACTCGATCTTGTATCGATGAAAAAGTTGCATCATGATTAATGAATGACCACCGATAGTAAAGATATTTGTATCAACTGAGATTTGATTTTGTTTGAATACCTCACACCAAATATGATGAATGCTAACTTCAATATCATTTGTTGGTAGTAGTAGTTCTAAACTGTTTGTGAGATGTGCGGATGAGAAGTGAGGCGGTGGAAGAAGTTTTCGATCTATTTTTCCATTTTGATTCAAAGGTAATTTATCAAGTACAATGAATATGGATGGAATCATATGTGGTGGAAGATGAGATTGACAATGTTCACGCAATTCCTGTTCATTAACATTACAGCTTTGAACATAAGCAACTAAATAATCATCATTCCATTTCATGACAACACAAGCAGAGATGGATGTAATGTTGAGGAGACATCGTTCGATTTCACCAAGTTCAATTCGTTGTCCATGTAGTTTGATTTGATGATCTTTTCTTCCTTGATAATGCAGAAGACCATTGTTATCGATTGTAACAAGATCACCTGTTTTATAGTACATTTGCCCGTTGATATTGATCATTGCCTTGGTAGTCAAATCATCACGATCAAAGTATCCAGCAAACATACCTACACCACTCACTAGCAATTCTCCTTCATGCCCAATACAGACACACTGAGAAAATTCGTCTAAAATCAGACACCGGTAATTGGGTAAAAGTTGACCTATAGAAATGCTTGTTTGGCTTTTGCTCAGGTCAATTAAATAACAAGCACAATTGATCGTGATTTCGGCTGGACCATAATGATTTCGAATTCGACATTGCTTTCCAACTAAATTTTGAAATAGATTAACTTGCTTAACATTAACTGCCTCGCCTATAAATAATTAATTCAAAGATATTGTTGATATTTTAGTTATTCAAAAAACAAGTACTAACCACCACTGCATAAGGATCGTAAATATTTAACTGCTGATGTACGCTTATTAATTCTGAGAAATTCAAATAAACTGTTCAGAAGCGATGGAACAGCATGCATGACAGTAATCTGCTTTTGATCGAGGACTCCAGCAAGATATTCTAAATCCATATTGCCTTCCGGTCGAAGCATCACTAATGTGCTACCAATAACCAATGTACCGACTAAGCTTAGGAGATGATTGTCAAAAGAACACCGAGCCATCTGTATTATTGTATCAGACTTTGTTACTACATCAACATTCACAAATGAATGCATAAACTCTGTGAAGTTTCGATGACGCAGTTGAACCTATTTCAAGAAAAAAAGCGTTAGACAATACATTCAAACAAACAGTTATTATACAAACCGCTTTTGGAATACCAGTTGAGCCACTTGTAAAAATTACAAAGACAACAGTTTCTGGTGTTACAGGAACATTGGAAAGTTCATTCAGATTAATCTCACTAAATCTTTCTTCGAGACGAATAACACAGTCAATATTTAGAGTTAGATTGTCGGAGCTGAAAACAACTGGTGTATTTGCATCAACCAAAACTAAACGACTCTTAGTCTGATTAAGAAGAGCTTGTAGACGTTGTGGAGGATCTCGTAATGATAACGGACAATAAGCACTACCAACCATAGTTATTGACAAGATACCAACAACCTAAGAGGAAATATTACACATGACATCGTTTCAAGAAAGAATCTTCTCAAAGTATTTACCATAGACAAGCTTCTCTCAACACATTGACAAATGATTTCACCTGGAACCACATGATATTCATTAACAAGAGTTAAAGATAATACTTGGACATAATGTAAAAGTTCAGCATATGTCAAAGATTGTTCATCTAGTTCAACAGCTAGTTTTTGTGGATGTTTCATTACTTGACTTACAAATGCATGATGAATACAAGTGACAGGAGATGGAAATGATACTTCTGTATTGTTCATTGATTGCATAAGTAATCTTTCATTTGGTAATGTTAATGATATTTCATAGATTGGTCCATTCATTTGATTATCAACAGATGTAAATAATTGTTTCAAGATTGAATGAAATCGTTGAGATATCTTATCAATTGTTTGTACATTGAATAAATCAAGTGATGCATTGATTGTGCATAAGAGTTGATTGACATTGAGATCATGTTGAATTATAAGTGAGAAATCATACTTATTTCTAATCTCATTATCATTAATGTTCATTATGAAAGGTATTGATGAAAGTTGACTATCACCAATCATTATTAATTTATTGTCAGTTAATGTCATAGATGATAGAAATTGAAATGATATATCAAGAAATGCATGTTTTGAAATATGTGGATGTTGATCAAAAATACGTTGAAGTGGAAAATAGGAATATTTCAAACTTTGTGTTGTTATCTCTGAAACGTGTTCGAATAGTTGATGAAGAGACCAGTGGGGATCTAATTGACATCGTAATGGAATAACATTCTCAAACAGTCCAATTATAGATTTGAGTTCATCTCTATATCGATTATTATTGATGTTCATAGCAATACATAGATCTGTTTGTCCATTAGTCAATTTAAATAGAAAGATGAAATAAATAGCAAATGTAAGATGTTCAAGTGATATATTATTTGATGATGCATGGATAAGAAAGTCATGTGAAAGATCTTGACCAAAATCAAATGAGATCGCTGTTCCACGACCAGTTCGATGTTCATTTGCAAGACGATATCGATCAAATGGTAACGATAGAGATTGATCGAGTTTACAATCATGAAGAGCATCAAGCCAAAACATACTTGCACCAGTCATTGACATTTGTTGTTCAATAACAGCATCTATTATATAAGTAAAGAAAAGAATGTGTTAAAGACAAAAGCACAAGAACTATTTATATTTACAATCGAGATAACGTAGAGTAGTGTTCTCATCATATAATAATTGGTCTGTTGTATATGCTTGATTAAGATCATAAAGAAAGATCTTCATTGATGGAAAATCAAATAGAGCATGATGAAAGTTGAATATAAGTAGATCATTGTGAGAAAGAAGATGATTTGAAGAGATTTGTTTGTAATAAATAATATGACATCGAAAGACAAGACCTTGAGCAAGATCAAAAAGATGAGGATTACGTTTCTCATCGTGTAAAATCTCATTCAATTGTTCATCTGTTTGATAAATAGTTTCGATGATTGAAAACATATTATTGGTATTGTTTTTATCTTCATGAGTAATAACTCGTTGCATAAGAAGATTCTTTTGGATATCAAAATAAAGTAATGTATGAAGTGATGGATGCTTGTTAACAGTGAGATGAAGAGCATGATGAAGTTGTTTAATCGATAAAGTATGACCTGGTTGCAGGCGATAGATAAAAGGCATATTATAGACTGCTGTTTGAGGTTTGTCTGGATCGAATCGAATTTTTTCGTCATGCCAAATACGAGCTTGTGCAAATGATGTTGGTGCTAGAATAGTGAAAGCTTAGTGAATTGTAATATAAAATCGAGACAGTTAAATGATGTTTGATATCAATAGTCTAGTCGCTTTTCATGTAATCGGTTTTTTAACTGAGCAGAATCCTTAGTAAGACTATTGTCTTAGTATTAATGTTAAAAATGCGTTTATATTTTGCACGGGAGTAAAACAAAATATTTAAATATTCCTCAGGACAAAAGGTCTAACAGCTAATTCAATGTCTGACAGATTGTTCGATCTTTATATGTAAATGTAATCAGTGAAAACAACAAAAATATCGTTGTACTAGCTTTCTAAATAACGTCGGAAGAAAAAAAAAGCAAACAGAAATGTTTAAGATTAGAGAACTATATGGTTTAAGTGTTTTATGACTTTAGAACCCGACTATGACTCCGAACCGCGTCTTCTTTGTTATTCTGAATCCGCTTGCATAAATATTTAATTTTTCACTTTGATCTCTGCTTCGAAATCCAAAAACTTCGACAATTTATTAATGGTAACTACAGTAGTGACCTGTCGCATACTTAGTACTTAATTTATTTAAAACTCAAAGAGGACCAGTCTCACCAATACAAGTTCTGGATTTTATCGAGTCTGTCCAACTGTCTTAGTAACTTAAGTATAATTCGTTTTCTGGCATGAAATCTACAACTATATCTTACTTCTGAAAGAATGCCAATTTATACAATGATAGGCTTATGACATGTTTTATCATCATAGTTGTTCTGTTTCTTAAAACGAAATGCACAGTTGTTGAGCCACGGTAAGTTTTACTTTTTGTTGATAAATAAGAAAATAAAACACTATTCATCACTTTAAAGCAGATATTCATCACTGATCTCTCCTTCAAAAGCTACAAAACCACCGCACTTAAAAAAGCTAACCTGAATTATTGATGATTACAACTAACCTGAATCCCTATTTTCCTATTATTAATCCCGGCAAGATTTATTAAAAAAGTGAAAATAATATATCTCTACACTTCAATGCACTTTCATGCATATTTCTCATTACTAATTTAAAGGACTACTACTTTCATAAAACAGTAGAACAAATTGCATACAATCATACCTTCATTCACAATATTCTCCAATCGATGAAACACGACCAATTTGATTTCCTCAGCTTCCTCGGGAAGAACAAGACATACGTTGTTAATCGATGAACTCGCATTCATTAAAGAAATGTTGCTTAATTGTGTTCGAAATAATTGCTCAAACATATATTGAAATCTTTGAGCTATTTGTGAAATAGTTGATTTTTCAAACAGATCACGTGAACAAACAAAATTACACAATAATCTCTTGTTATCTGATAATGGATTGTATTCAAATCTTAATGAGAAGTCAAATTTAGATACTTCAGCTGATTGTTCTAATGATATTTTCTCTAAATTTGTATCACTCAAACATAAATGTTCGACATCTTTAGACACAGTAATAAAATCAAACATTGTCTCAAGAAATGATACATTTGACTGCTTTAATCGATTATCATCAAGAATATGTTGTAATGGATAATGAGAATGTTGAAGAATCGATAAACATTTATCGCGTACATATTTGACTACTTCATCAAATGACCAACGGGGATCAAGCTCAACACGAAATGGTAATGTTGAAACAAACATTCCTATCATATTCACTAATTCACTTCGGTATCGATTAGCATTGATAGAAGAAATACATAAATCAGTCTCACCATGAGTTAATTTGAACAGAAATACATAAAATATGGATAATCCAAGTTGAAAGAGTGTGAGATGATGTGATGATGCATAATTTAGAAATGATGTGCATATTTCATCATCAAAAGCGATTTGAGCTGAAGAAGCTAAACCTGATCGTTGTTGATTAGTTGATGAACGTTGTCGATCAGATGGTAATGATAATGAATATTTGATATTGTATCTTTCAATTTGAGAGTGCCAAAATTCACGAGATAATGACATATCCATGATATGTTCATGGACAGAATAGTCAATGTATTGTAATGAGTTTTCATCTATAGAGAACAAGTCATCGGATTGATAAGCAAAAGAAAGATCATGAAGAAAGATTGATACAGATGCTCCATCAAACACTGCATGATGAATACTAATCAATATGTGATCATTTTCACTCAATAGATCATCATTCTTATATGAGATGCTATCTTGAGATTGATGATAATGACGAAGAATATGACAACGTATAACATGTCCTTTTGATAAATCAAATAAATCAACTTGATTTAATATTTCTGTGATAATATCATTCATATGACGACGATCATTATTATGAATATTAACAATTGTCAATCCATATGATTTCATATCATCCTGGAGAATGATATTTGCATCTAAACAGTGTTGTATGATATTGTTCTTTGTATCATCAATATAAAGTGCTGTTCGAAGAATATTATGTTTTGTGATAACACTTTGAAATGCATGATATAATCGAGTAATTGACACATGATCATTCATAGATGATATACGATAAAGTAATGGAATAACATACATATTCTTCATGGTTGTTTTGTTGGATGAAAACCGAATTTGTTCATCTAAATAGATTCGTTCTTGTGCAAATGATGCTCGAGCTAGAATGAGAAAGAAAGAGATGAATATGTAGTTGATGATCATATCTAGTACAAATTGTTTTGTTTACCTTGAGTGAGATATAATGACGACCACAGATAGTCATCGAGAGTATGGATGGTATTGATAGATTGCTGAATGAGTTGAGCATGATGAATAATCGTTGGATATTGAAATAAGTTGAATATTGAAAGAGTGTTTGTATCTAAATGAAATTCGATCTTATATCGATGAAAAAGTTGCATCATAAGTAACGAATGACCACCAATAGTAAAGATATTTGTATCAATTGATATTTGATTATGTTTGAATATCTCACACCAGATGCGATAAATACTAATTTCAATATCATTTGTTGGCGGTAGTAATTCGATATTGTTTACGAGATGTATTGGTGAGAAGTGAGGTAATGGAAGAAGTTTTCGATCTATTTTTCCATTTGCATTCAGAGGTAATTTCTCAAGAATAATGAAGAAAGATGGAATCATATGTGGTGGTAGATGAGATTGACAATGTTCTCGTAATAGTGTTTCATCAATGTCAAAACTTTGCACATAAGCAACTAAATGATCATCATTCCATTTCATGACAACACAAGCTGAAATCGATGTTTGAAGTAAGCATTGTTCGATTTCACTAAGTTCAATTCGTTGTCCATGTAGTTTGATTTGATGATCTTTTCTTCCTTGATAATGAATTAGTCCATTGTTATCCATTGTAACAAGATCACCTGTGCGATAGTATAGTTCACCATCTATTTCAAGAAGAGCTTTTGCAGTTAAATCATCACGTCCAATGTAACCAGCAAAGACACCCACTCCACCAATAAACAATTCAGCTTCTTCTCCGATCGCTGTTGGCTCCAAAAAAATGTCTAGAACCTTGTATTGTTCGTTGGCCAGAACTCTACCAAGAGGAATCTTGCTCCCAACAGATGCGGTGTCGATACGATGACATATTGAGACAATGGTACATTCAGCCGGTGCATATATATTATGCATATAATACTTACTTTTAATATGGTTTCTGAGACGGTGAACGAGTTTTAGTGAAAATGGTTCACCTAGAAGGACAAGAGAAAGTTCTAATATCACCTTTAGTACGCTTTACTAACCGCCAATACAAAGTGATCGCACAGATGACAAAGGATAGTGATTGGAATGAGCAAGAAAATCGCATAAATGATTTAAGAAGGTTGGAACAGGTGCAAGGCATGTGATCTGTTTATGTTCCAGTGTGTGAGCAAAATATTCAAAATCCATATTGCCGTATGGATGTAACATCACAACAGTCGCGGACGAAAGTAAACTACCCATGATTTCCATGACATGTACATCGTATGTCGAAGCACATATCTGTGCAACAACATCTTGCTCGTTTAATACATCAGCATTCTGTATAGAATGTACAAAATTTGTGAAGTTTCGATGCCGTGTTTGAGCCTATAACAAAGTGAAACACTGAAAAAGATACTTTAGAAAATGCAGGAAACATACTGCTTTTGGTGTTCCAGTTGAACCACTTGTAAAAATAATGTACGCGACGTCCTCTGATACTGTTCTAACTTTTTCCAGTCGGATCACATCAATAACACATCCAGTGACATGACTCGTTAATACTGAATCTATATCAAATGCAACAGTGTCATAATTGAATTTAGTCTTAGTCAAATCATGAACAAGAACAAGACGACTTTGAGTTTGTTGTGTGAGTGCATTTAAACGATGTTGTGGATCTCGAGGTGATAATGGACAATAAACACCACCAGCCATCTCAATTGCCATAATACCAATCACCTAGTCAAAATCAATCTCAAACTCACATCAATAGTCACTTCTCTCGATTAACTTACCATTGATAAACTTCTCTCAACACATTGACACACGATCTCACCTGGAGAAACATGATATTCATTAACTAGAGTTAACGATAAGACTTGGACATAATGCAAGAGTTCACAATATGTTAATGATTGTTCATCGAGTTCAACAGCTAGTTTTTGTGGATGTTTCATTACTTGATATACAAACTCATGATGGATACAAGTGAGAGAAGATGAAAATGGTATTTGTGTATTGTTCAAAGATTGCATTAGATATTGTTCGTTTGATAATGTTAATGATAATTCATAAATAGGTTTGTTTATTTGACTGTGCATAATAGATGCAGATAATTGATTGAAGATGAAATGAAATCGTTGTGAAATCTTCTCCGCTGTCTCTCGATTAAATAAGTCAAGTGATGCCTTGATTGTACATGACAGTTGATTCATGTTCAAATCATGATAGATAGAAAGAGAGAAGTCGGACATACTTAATATCTCATCTTCATTAATATTGAATGAGAAAGATCCTGGAACAAGTTGAGAATCACCAATGATGATTGATTTGTTGCTCATGTATGATATAAATTCCAGAGATGTATCCAAAAATGCATACTTGGAAATATGTGCATGTTGATTGAGAATATGTTGTAATGGAAAATATGAATATTTCATACTCTTTGTTGATATTTCTTGAACATGTTTGAGTAATTGATGAAAAGACCAATGAGGATCTAGTTGACATCGTAATGGAATGACATTCTCAAACAATCCAATGATTGACTTGAGTTCATCTCTGTATCGATTGTTATTGATGTTCATAGCCAGACATAGATCTGTTTGTCCATTAGTTAGTTTAAATAGAAAGATGAAATAAATAGTAAATGTGAGATGTTCAATTGATATGTTGTTCAATGATGCATGTGTAACGAAGTCATATAAGAGATCTTGACCAAAATCAAAAGAAATAGATGTTGCATAACAAGTTCGATGTTCATTTGCAAGACGATATCGATCAAATGGTAATGATAATGGTTGATCAAGTTTACAATCATGAAGAACATCAAGCCAAAACATACTTGCACCAGTCATTGACATTTGTTGCTCAATAACAGCATCTATTATATAATCAAAGAAAATAATATATTAAAGAAGAGAAAAGTAGAAGTAGTATTTATATTTACAATCGAGATAACGAAGATTAGTGTTGTCATCATATAATAATTGACCTGCAGTATATGCTTGATTAAGATCATGAAAAAATATATTCATTGATGAATAATCAAATACAGCATGATGAAAATTAAAGATGATTACATCTGTATCAGAAAGAAGATGATTTGAGGAGATTCGTTTGTAATAAACAATATGACATCGAAAAACAAGACCTTGATCAAGATTGAAAAGTTGAGGATTATATTTTTCTTCATGTATGATATGACTGAGTTGTTCATGGGTTGTATAAGCGCTTTCAATAAATGTAAAAAGTTGTCTACTATGATCGTTTGTATCAATGATTTGTTGCATGAGTTGATTGTTTTGTGTAGGTAATATGATTGATGTTCGAAGCGAATGGTGTTTTTTCATGATTAGTCGAATAGCATGACGAAGATGTTGTATTGGTAAAGTATGATGTGAGTGTAGATGGTAAACAAAGGACATGTTATAGACTGGTACTTGTGTTATGTAACGAGTGAAATGAATAGATTCATTGCGCCATAGGCGAATTTGTGCAAATGATGCTGGTGCTATATGAAAGAGAAAGCAATGAAATAATGATTAATGATATTGCTTGTGAAATCTATTTTGTGTAAGTTTTAATCTTTATCGAATCACTCTACGAATGAAAATTTTAAAGAGTATAGCTAATGTTGTTGTTTGCGAGAGGCATGTATGCTGTCATATCGATCATTGATTAGAAACTTGAAATAAATGAACAAATGAATTAGGGCGTCATGAAGTTTTTTGATACGTCACCGTTGCATTTTATTTTTAATGCTTTAGTGTTTCTAACCGCTGACCTAAAGAATTTTTTTAAACAAAATAGCAACTTTTCAGAAAAACGTTTTGAAAATTGAATGACATTTAAGAATGATAGAAAACGTTTGTAAATAGATATGTTGTATTAGTTAATGTGAAAGGCAGAGATGTCCATCGGTGACATAGATGCTTATTTTAAGCGGAAAAATGACGCTTCGATCAGAAATGCTAGTTTTCAGAGTGAAAAGGACACAAATCGTAGAATATTTTACACCATTACATAGTCATCTATAGGAAAACCATCTGGAATAATTAATTCAAATTGATATATAGGCGAAAAGTCTTGAGAGTGAGTGTGGGTATCTATATGAATAAAGAATGCATGTTCACATCCACCCACAGTCACACGCTCATCCTATGGTTGAGCACCGCTTCTCGGATAATCTGAGCAGTATAAAAATATATCTTCGGTGATATCTCTGTAGAACTTATTCATTGCCAATATAAGTGTTCATTAGGAAAAACTTTATATGTACTGAAACATACCTTCGTTTATAATATGTGGTTGTCGACAAAAGATAACATCTTCCATTTCTTGAATTTCTTCTGGTAGAATAAGACTAATTTTCGATATAGATGTAACACATGTATCATCTCGATTAATAGCTTGATTCGATGAAAAAACTTGTTGAAAACAATATTCTAATCTTTGACCTATATTTGTAACTGTAATTTCATCAAATAAATCATGTGAACAAGTTAAACGGAATGATAATCTATTATTTTCCAATATTCGATTATAGACAAACATTAACATGAAATCAAACTTAGCCACTTCAAACGATTGTTCTAATGACACGTGTTTAAAAGCTGCTCCATCTAAATATACTTCATCGTTGTGTGATGATATAGTTATAAAGTCATACATTGTTTCGAGAAATGAAATGTTTGATTGATCAATATGTAAATTGGCAAGAATATGTTGAAGCGGATAATAAGAATGTTCAAGAATTGATAAACATTTTTCTCGTACATTTTCAACAAGATCATCAAATGACCAATGAGGATCAAGTTGAACACGATATGGTAATGTTGAAACAAACATTCCCATTATATTCTGTAGCTCAGTTTTATGTCGATTGGCATTAAGACAAGAAATACATAAATCATTATCACCATGTGTTAACTTGAAAAGAAAAGCATATAACATAGTTAAACCTAACTGAAATGGTGTCACATGATGCATAGAAGCATAATCAAGAAATGATTGTGAAATCTCGTTGTCAAAAGAGATTTGAGTGATACAAGCAGAGCTCGATCGATGATCATTAGACACACGTTGTCGATCAACTGGTAATAATAATCGATATACCAAATTGTATTCTTCTAATTGTAAATACCAAAACTCACGAGATATTGTCATATCCATTAGACGTTCATGTATACTATAATCAATATATTGCAATGATTCATCATCTTCTATTAATATTGCATTAGTATTATAAGCAAAACATAGATCATTGAAAAAGATGGAACGACTTGATCGATCAAATGCTGCATGATGAAAAGCAGTGAGGAGAACATCAGAATTCATTATGAGTTCATTATTATTTTCATTTTCATTTAATGATATTCGATGTCTCAGAATTTCAGCATGAAAAACATGACCAGTTGATAAATCAAAGAGATTAGGATTAATAGTTGTTTGATAAATAATGTCTTGAAGTTCATTTTCATTTTTAAATGTTCGATTCAGAGTTATTGTGAGTGTTTTATGTATATCTGTAATGCATTGTTTCAAACTACTATTATCATTGTTAAACATAAGAGATGTACGTAATATTTTATGTTTATCCAAAACATATCGAAATGCTTGTAATAAGCGATTTAATGATAATGATCCTTGAACAACTTGTAAAGTAATCAGTTCATTATAGACAGCAATATCACCCGAAAAACGAACTTGTTCATCGAGAAAAATACGTTCTTGAGCAAAAGAGGCAACACCTGTCAATTAAACAATAGAATTTATTTTAATAATTTCTAACTAAATATTTTTACCTTCATTTATATGTAAAGTGTACCATTGTGTTGGCTTGATATTATTCATTATAACTGTTTGAAGTAATTGTGAATGCTGACAAATAGTTGGTTGTTGAAGAAATGGAGCAATTGAAAGTGTATGAGCATCAAAGTTAAATACTGATTGATAATGATGATAAAGTTGAATAAATAATAGTGAATGACCACCAACACTGAAAAAGCTGGCAGTTCTAACAATGTGATTTTGATTAGAATGAAGAACTTGGCACCAAATAGTGAGTATACGTTCTTCGAACTGATTAAAAGGAGTATCAGATTTATCGGGTGATAATATAGTCGATAATGAAAAGTTGGGTGAAGGAAGTTGTTTTCTGTCTACTTTTCCATTTTGATTCAAAGGTAATTTATCAAGAATAATAAAGAAAGATGGAATCATATGTGGTGGAAGATGAGATTGACAATGTTGACGTAGTTGTTCTTCATTGATATGAGAAGATTGGACATAAGCAACTAAATAATCATCATTCCATTTCATCACAACACAAGCAGAGATGGATGTGATGTTGAGTAAACATCGTTCGATTTCACCAAGTTCAATTCGTTGTCCATGTAGTTTGATCTGATGATCTTTTCTTCCTTGATAATGAAGAAGACCATTGTTATCTATTCTAACAAGATCACCTGTGCGATAAAATAGTTCACCATCTATTTCAATCAGAGCTCGTGCAGTTAAATCATCACGTCCAAGATAACCAGCAAAGACACCTGCTCCACCCACAAACAGTTCACCTTGTTGACCAGTAACAGACGATTGTAAATATTCATTCATGATCATACAGTGATAATTAGAAAGTGGTCTACCAATTGAGACGCTTCGTGTTTCCTCTGTTAGATCTACTTTGTGGAAGGTAGAAACTATAGTTGTTTCAGCTGGACCATATAAATTCCACACAGTACAGTTAGTTATACCAGTTTTCACGATTAAGTCGATCAAATGAACAACAAAAGCTTCACCTAAAACAAAGGAAACGTAGTGTAATGAAAGGTCGAGAGTCACTTTTGATCACTCACCAATACTACAAAGTGATCGCAGATATTTTACAGCATCTACTTTCTCGTTCTGTTCGATAAAAACGAAAAAATTATGTAGAAAACTTGGTACCGTATGTATATACGTGATCTCTTTGTCCTGTAACACTTCGGATAAATAATGAAAATCAATAGTTCCACCCGGATGAAGCATAATCAATGTACCTCCAAGCAACAATGTACCAAGTATTTCTTGAACATGAATATCGAATGAACATCGTGTCATTTGTACAACTATATCGTCGTTATTCAATGAGTTAATATAAGCCAAAGAATTGATACAATCAATAAAGTTCTTATGTCGAACTTGAACCTACCAAATAGAATGACAATATATCAGATATTAGAAAATGAAGTGAAAGCGAACCGCTTTGGGTATTCCAGTCGAACCACTAGTGAAAATAATGTACGCTATCTCTTCACCTTTCACTATCACACTTGAAAGACAGTTGTAATCCATGTCACAGTTCAGATCATGAATAATTAATATTGAATCAATATCAAGCACAACAATTTCATCATCGAATTTTATCTTAGTTAAATGATGAGCAAGAACAAGACGGCTTTGGATTTGCTCTACGAGTGCATGCAGCCTTTGTTGTGGATCTCGAGGTGACAATGGACAATAAACACCACCAGCCATCTCAATCGCCATTATACCAATCACCTAGTCAAACATCAATCTCAAACTTTCATCAATAGTTATTTCTCCTGATCAACTTACCATTGACAGACTTCGCTCAACACATTGACACACAGCCTCACCTGGAAACATATGATATTCATTAAGAAGAGTCAAAGATAATACTTGAACATAATATAACAGTTCACAATATGTTAATGATTGGTCATCGAGTTCAACTGCTAGTTTTTGTGGATGTTTCATTACTTGATATACAAATTCATGATGAATACAAGTGAGAGGAGATGGAAATGATATTTGTGTATTGTTCAATGATTGTAAAAGTAATTGTTCCGTCGGTAATGCTAATTGTACTTCATGGATTGGTTTGTTTATTTGACTTTGAAAAGATGTGAATTGTTGTTGTAACATTGTCTGTAATCTTTGCGCAATTATACAAACTGTTTCAACATTGAATAAATCAAGTGATGCATTGATTGTACATGAGAATTCATTTAGATTCATATCATGTTGAAAACTAACAATAAAATCAAATTTACTCATTATTTCATCTTCACTAATCTTAATTGAAAAAGGTAGTAAAGAAAGTCGACTATCACCAATCATTATTTCATCTTTCTCATCTTTTATCATAGATGATATGAAATCAGATGATGTGTCAAGAAATACAGGATTTGATATATTGGGATGTTGATTGAGAATACGTTGAAGAGGAAAATAAGAATACTTCGTACAGTTTATCATATTATCTTGAACATGTTTAGTGACTTTATGAAATGATAAATGAGGATCAAGTTGACATCGCAAAGGTATAGCATTCACAAACATTCCAATAATAGAGTTAAGTTCATCTCTATAGCGACCATGTGTATTTATTCCAATGCATAAATCTTTTTCTCCATTTGTTAATCTGAACAAAAACACATAATAAGTGGCAAGTGCAAGTTGTTCCAGTGATATGCTATTTGATGATGCATGACTAAGAAAGTCATGTGAGAGATCTTGACCAAAATCAAATGAGATAGACGTTCCACGACCAGTTCGATGTTCATTTGAGAGACGATATCGATCATATGGTAATGACAAAGGTTGATTAAGTTTACAATTATGAAGAGCATCAAGCCAAAACATACTTGCACCAGTCATTGACATTTGTTGTTCAATAACAGCATCTACATAATTAAAGAAGAGAATGTATCAGAAGAGAGAAAAGTAGAAGTAGTATTTATATTTACAATCGAGATATCGTAGAGTAGTGTTGTCATCATATAATAATTGCCCTGTTGTATATGCTTGATTAAGATCATGAAGAAATATATTCATTGATGGAAAATCGAACAGTGCATGATGAAAGTTAAATATAATTAGATCTTTGTGAGAAAGAAGATGTTTTGAAGAGATTTGTTGATAATAAATAATATGACATCGAAAGACAAGACCTTGTGCAAGATCAAAAAGATGAGGATTACGTCTCTCGTCGTGTAAAATCTCATTGAGTTGTTCATCTGTTTCATAAGTACTTTCGATGATTGAAAACATATCAGTATAGTAATCTTTTTGTGTAATAACTCGTTGCATAAGTAGATTCTTTTCGATGTCAAAATGAAGTAATGTGTGAAGTGAGGGATGTTTGTTAACAGTGAGATGAAGAGCATGACAGAGTTGTTTAATGGATAAAGTATGACCTGATTGAAGACGGTAAACAAAAGGCATATTATAGATTGCTATTTGAGGTTTTTCCGGATCGAATCGAATTCTTTCGTCAAGCCATATACGAGCTTGTGCAAATGATGCTGGTGCTAGAATAATGAGAGCTTAGTGAATTATGATGCAAAAACTGGATATTGAAAGGATATTTCGTATTAATATACTAGTCATTTATCATGTAATCGCCTGTTTAACTGAACAGAATCCGATAGAATAACTTTGACTGGAGACTTTTTAGGCGCATTAATAGTACTATATATTAGTTTTATGTTAATGTTTATATAAAAATACGATAATTCGGGATTCTCGTTAAACTGGCATTAACATAATGCAAGTACTGACGGCTCACTTAACCCTCCGGAGGTGTCCTCGCTTAGTCACACGAACGATGTATGTGGGTCCAAGTGGACCCACACGTAAATACATAAGGAAAACATGAAAATTCATCTGTATTGTACTATATAAGATAGATCAAGGTCCATATCATGATCTCTTTTCAGCCACTGATGCATTGATGTGCTTGTAGTATACATAAGATGCTGATTTTTCAAGAAAAAAGAAGGATTACAATTATCGTGAGTAAAAGTTAAGAGAATGGTGAAAATATTTCGATAGATAAATCAAGATAGAGAAACACATTATTCCTTACCAGCAGCAACAAGCTAATCAATCTTCAATAGATAGACCTTCGAAACAATAGAGGGCATACGTAATACGAATTAAAATCATCTATATAACACGAATGTTGTCAGAAGGTCCAAACGGACATATACTCTAGTTTTTGACTGCTGACAGTTTGGCAAGAAATTTCATATGGTTCTTGTGTATCATTAGTAGACTAACGATTAGCGAAAAGATCGTTTCGAATTGCATAGATCTTAAAGTAGAAAAGGGGAATGCGAATTTTGCAGTACAGACTTTCGCAAGTGACTTTTGGCAATTGCCAAAAGTTGTGTTTTCGCTGGATTTTCGGCAAAATCAAAACTAAACTTTAGGCAATAGGCCAATAGTCCAGTTTCGTTACGGCGAAAATCCAAAAAAAACAGAACTTTTGGCAATTGCCAAAAGTCACTTGCGAAAGTCTGTACTGCAAAATTCGCGCTGTTCGTAGAAAAAAACAAAAAAACACTACTGTGGACCTCTTGGACCCCCAAACACCGCCGGAGGGTTAAAAAGGGTAAAATTGTTCACTGTTAGGAATTCATCTCTGAGAAATAAAACAGTATTATTTTTTATGAAAGTTGTCAGCATATGCATGTTGCTAATACAAATGCATTGTCAATGCCGAATTATTGTTTTTTTGTACTACTAACAGAGAAGAACCGTATAGTTTTGTAAAATTCTAACAGATTGTATTAGTATTTTCTTAATGCGAATACTTTGCTGACAGTCTCACTTGATGCTATTGTTGGTTTGATATAAATCTTTCTTGTTCACTGAGTAGATCAAATTTATTTCTCTACCTTATTTAGATGCACTCAAACATTTGATAAATTTATCTATGATGATATGATATCTTTATCGGTCTATTGATTCTGTCTTCTCTATTTCTTCCTTTTATACTTCTTTTATCATATATATCCCATAAGTCACCAAACAATATTACAATATACTTAAAATACATATAAGATTACATGATGAAATCGCTGTAGTTATTATATAAAATTTATTTTTAAAATAAATTTATGCGATTCTAATCTTTCGACATATATTACTAAATCATTAAAAGCTTTAGTCACTAGTCTGAAACTAAAATCTCTGCAACTGTATTAGGGAATAATCTGAATAAAATAATCATATAAATTAAGGTGAGTAACTGATAAGAATATGTATAATAAAAGCTTGAACTATAATACATAAATGTAGCATCCCCTATAGCATCATGCAATGATCTGACAGATATCTAAATAATTTGTATGAGTTATATACTGCCAATATTGGACAATTTTTACAATCTGCACATGTACATCTAATCAGTGAAAACAACAAAAATATCTTTGTATTAGCTTTATATATAACATCGGGAGAAAACAAAAGCAGACAGAAATGTTTGATGATGGAGAACTATGTAGTGTAGGTATTTCATGACTATACAACCCGGCTATGACTCTGAAAAGCTTCTTCCCTGCGATTCTAAATTCGACTGCATGAGTTTTAATTTTCTCACTTCGATCTTATTTTCGACATTCAAAATCTTCTACAATCTATTACTGATAACTAGTAGTCTATCACATACTTAGTACTTAATTTCCTTAGAAGTTAGAGAGGACTAGTCTCGCCGATGACAAACTCTGGATTTTACCGACTCTATTCAATAGTCTGAGTAACTTACATGTGATTTGTTTTCTGGCATGCAATCTACGAGAGTATCTGCGTTCTGAGAGAGTGTCAGTTTATAAATAAACAGGCTTATGAAAGATTCTGTTATCATAGTTGTTCTGTTTCTTAAAACATAATACACAACTTTTGAGCAACGGCAAGTGTTATTTTCTGTTCATTAATACAAAAATACAAGAGTATTCACATATTCAAAGCAAATATTCATCAGAGATCTTTAAAACTTAATTTTGATTTCTCTCCCGAAAAATTTCTCGATAAGTCCGACTCGAACTCACTTTCAGTATCTTCGAGCAAATCTCCTTAAACGTTACAAAGCTAGAGCAACTGAAAAAGATAACTTGAGTTACTGATGATCACAACTCATTTGAACCTCTATTTTCTCATTATTTACTCCGTTAAGATTCATTTAAAAACTGAAAATAGTATCTCTCAGCATTGCATTTTAATGCATATTTCCTATTAAGAATTTAACTGACTACTACTTTTTCAAAAAATAGGACAAGCTGCATACAATCATACCTTCATTCACAATATTGTCCAATCGATGAAATACGACTAACTCCATTTCTTCCGCTTCATCAGGAAGAATAAGACCAAGCTTGTTAATCGATGAACTCACATTCATCACAAGAGTGTTGCTTGATTGTGTGTGAAACAGTTGCTCAAACATATATTGAAATCTTTGAGCTATTTTTGAAATAGTTGAGTTTTCAAACAGATCACGCGAACAAACAAAACGACATGATAATCTCTTATTGTCTGATAATGGGTTGTATACAAATGTTACTGAGAAATCAAATTTAGACACTTCAAGTGATTGTTCTAATGATATTCGTTCTAAATTTGCAACACCCAAACATAAATGTCCTATATCTTTTGACACAGTAATAAAATCGAAAACTGTCTCAAGAAATGATATATTCAATTGATTTAATCGATTATCACCAAGAATATGTTGTAATGGATAATGAGAATGTTCAAGAATTGATAAGCATTTTTCTCGTACATGTTGAACAAGTTCGTCAAATGACCAATGGAGATCAAGTTCAACACGATTCGGTAATGTTGAAACAAACATTCCAATTAGATTTTGTAGTTCATTTCGATACCGATTAGCATTAATAGAACCAATACATAAATCAGTCTCACCATGGGATAATTTGAATAGAAAGACATAAAATATGGATAATCCAAGTTGAAAATATGTGAGATGATGTGATGATGCATAATTTAGAAATGATGTGCAAAGTTCATTATCAAAAGTAATTTCAACTATGGATGCTAAACCTGATCGTTGCTGACTAGTTGATGAACGTTGTCGATCAACAGGTAATGATAATGAACATTCGATATTATACCCTACAAGTTGAGAATGCCAGAATTCACGAGATAATCTCATATCCATGATATGCTCATGAACAGAATAATCGATATAATTCAATGAGTTATCATTCACAGATACAGAGTCATCAGATTGATAAGCAAGAGAAAGATCACGAGCGAAGATTGATACTGATGTTCCATCGAACATTGCATGATGAATGGTAAATAGTATTAGATCATCTTTAGTTAAAAGATTGTTATTGTGGGTGAATGAGTGGTTGGATTGATATTGACGAAGAATATGACAATTAATAACATGTCCTTTTGATAAATCAAATAAATCAGCTTGATTTAGTATTTTCCTCACAATTTCATTTTTTCCATGGTCATCATCAGAAATATTTACTACTGAGCATCTATATGTTTGGATATCATCAATCGGAACACTCGTGTCTTGACAATCTTGTACAATGACACCATCGATATCAAGATAAAGTGCTGTTCGAAGAATAGTATGTTTTGTGATAACACTTTGAAATGCATGTTGTAGTCGTGAAATTGATATATGATTATTCACAGATAGAAGACGATAAATTAATGGAATAACATATATGTTAGTATTATTATCGGCTGATGAAAACCGGATTTGCTCATCTAAGAAAATACGTTCCTGAGCATAAGATACTGGAGCTGAAACGAAGAAATAAAATATTATTTTCAGAAGAAACTATGGAAAGTTGTTTTACCTTGAGTAAGATATAAAGAAAGCCATCGACAATCGTGAATATTCTGTTTGATATTGCTGATTTGATGAATAAGTTTAGCATGACGAATAATTGTTGGATGTTGAAACAGATCAGTAATAGAAAGGGAACTATTTTCTAAATGAAATTCTACTTTATATCGATGATGTAGTTTCATGATAACAAGTGAATGACCACCGATACTGAAGATGTCTGTATCGATCGAGATTTGTTTTTGTTGTAGTATATCACACCAAATGCGATGAAGACTAGCTTCGATTTCATTGCTTGGTGTTGATAGATCGATACTGTCTGTTAGCTGTATTGATGAAAAGTCAGGTGAAGGAAGAAGTTTTCGATCTATTTTACCATTTGGATTCAATGGTAATTTATCAAGTATAATGAATATTGATGGTATCATATGTGGTGGAAGATGAGATTCACAGTGTTGACGAAGTTGTTCTTCATTGATATGAGAAGACTGAACATAAGCAATCAAATAATCATCATTCCATTTCATGACAACACAAGTAGATATGGATGCGATGTTAAGTAAACATCGTTCTATTTCACCAAGTTCAATTCGTTGTCCGTGTAATTTAGTTTGAAAATCTTTTCGACCGACACAATAAAGAAGATCATTGTTACCCATTCTAACAAGATCACCTGTTCGATAGAATATCTCACCATCGATTTCAATCAGTGCTCTATTTGTCAAATCATCACGTCCAAGATAACCAGCGAAAACACCTACACCTCCTATAAATAATTCACCTTCTTGATTAATGATGGCAAATTGTAAGAAATTATCCAAGAGCAAATATCGATAATTAGGCAATGGACGTCCTATTGAAATACTGTCTGCATTGAATTTAATGTTTACCGGATAAAAAGTGCAAGCAACAGTAGTTTCTGTCAAACCGTACCAATTCCAAAACGTAAAATGCTGTGCAGGATCTGTGAGGATTAATTTGACTAACTTCATATAACATGGCTCACCTAAAAAGTAAGAGAACATTATAAAAGATTATATAGTTCACATGATGATTACTTACCGATAGTGCAGAGTGATCTAAGATATTTTATAAAATGTAAATAATTATTCTGTTTAAGAAAAGTGAAAAAGTTGCGAAGTAAACTTGCTACAGAGTGCATATAAGTAACTTGTTTGTTTCTCATGATTTCAGCAAGATAGTTCAATTCAACAGTTCCTCTTGGACGAAGCATGATTATTGTAGCTCCAATTATCAATGAACCAATAATTTCTTGAATATGATTGTCAAATGAACATCTAGCCATTTGAATCACTGTATCATTGTTAGTAAATGAATCAATGCACATTAAAGAATAGATACATTGAATAAAATTTATATGTCGAACTCGAACCTATAAACAAAAAGATCATGACATTATCTAAATATATAATCTTCTTTATAGATAAATCATATATCAACAAAATTTTAAAAAGATTCGATCTCCTACAAAAAAAATTAATAAAATCAATAAACAGGTAATCTTTTTCTCATATAACTCATTTATTTTCGGTTAGTTGTATGGTGAATTCAATGCTCACCCCTTTTGGCGTTCCTGTTGAACCACTAGTAAATATAATGTAGGCTATGCTGTTGATAGTCACATGAACAGATGATAGTTGATCAATATTAATATGTTGAAATAAATTATTATTAACCAATATAGAATCAATGTTTAACGTAGTGATAATATCGTTAAACTTATTTTTTGTCAGATAATGGGAAAGAATAAGACGACTTTGTGTTTGTTGCAAAAGCATATGCAGACGATTTTCTGGATCTCGAAATGACAAAGGAAAATATACATCACCAACCATTGCAATTGCTATGATCCCAATAACCTAATGAGTATCAATATTTTATATATAGTATGTATTTATTTCTACGGTTAACTTACCATAGACAGACTTCGTTCAACACATTGTGAGATAACCTCACCTGGAATGACACCATACTGATCTACAAGATGGACAGCTAAAATCTGGACATAAGCAAAAAGTTCACAATATGTTAATGATTGTTCATCTAATTCAACTGCTAGTTTTTGTGGATGTTTCATTACTTGATATACAAACTCATGATGAATACAAGTGAGTGGAGATGGAAATGATATTTGTGTATTATTCAAAGATTGCGTTAGATATTGTTCATTTGATAATAGTAATGATAATTCATAGATAGGTTTGTTCATTTGATTATCAATCATAGATGTAGATAATTGATGTGACATGAAATGAAATCGTTGTGAAATCTTCTCCGCTGTGTCTCTATTGAACAAGTCAAGTGATGCATTGATTGTGCATGACAGTTGATTCATGTTCATATCTTGATAAATGGAAAGAGAGAAGTCGGATACACATAGTATCTCATCTTCATTCGTATTGAATGAGAAAGATTCTGAAACAAGTTGAGAATCACCAATCATAATTGCATTATTGTCATCGTTGCTCTTGCATGAGATAAATTCCAGAGATGTATCCAAAAATGCATGTTTTGAAATATGTGGATGTTGATTGAGAATACGTTGAAGTGGAAAATACGAATATTTCATACTCTTTGTTGTTATCTCTTGAACATGTTCGGGGAATTGATGAAAACACCAATGAGGATCTAATTGACATCGTAATGGAATAATATTCTCAAACAGTCCAATGATTGCTTTGAGTTCATCTCTATATCGATTATTGATGTTCATAGAAATACATAGATCTGTTTGTCCATTAGTTAATTTAAATAGAAAGATGAAATAAATAGCAAATGTAAGATGTTCAAGCGGTATATTATATGATGATGCATGTGTAAGAAATTCATGTGAGAGGTCTTGACTAAAATCAAAAGAAATAGATGTTCCACGACCAGTTCGATGTTGACTTGCGAGACGATATCGATCAAATGGTAATGACAAAGGTTGATCAAGTTTACAGTCTTGAAGAGCATCAAGCCAAAACATGCTTGCACCAGTCATTGACATTTGTTGTTCAATAACAGCATCTATCATATAATCAAAGAAAATAATGCATTATAAAAGTAGAAGTAGTATTTATATTTACAATCGAGATAACGAAGATTAGTGTTGTCATCATATAATAATTGACCTGCAGTATATGCTTGATTAAGATCATGAAAAAATATATTCATTGATGAATAATCAAATACAGCATGATGAAAATTAAAGATGATTACATCTGTATCAGAAAGAAGATGATCTGAAGGGACTGATTTGTAGTAAACAAGATGACATCGAAAAACAAGGCCTTGTGCCAGATCGAAAAATTGCGGATTATGTCTTTCTTCATGCAGGATATAATTAAGTTGTTGATGTGTTGTATAAGTGCTTTCAATAAATGTAAGTAACGTATTGTGATTTTGGCTGAAGTCAGTAATTTGTTGCATGAGTCGATTGGTGTGTGTATGAAAGATGAGTGATGTTCGAAGAGGTTCATGTTTTGTAACGATTAGCTGAAGGGCATGACGAAGATGTTGTACTGATAAAGTATGATGTGAGTAGAGAGAATAAACAAAAGGCATGTTGTAGATTGGTACTTGTGATATGTGCGGAGTGAAATGAATAGATTCATTATGCCATAGTAGAGCTTGTGCAAATGATGCTGGTGCTAGAATAATAAGGGATATTTAGATTATATTTCAAGAGAATAATGATGAAATGATATGTAATATCAATGTTCACATTATTTTTCATGGGATGGGTTTTTTAATTAAAGCGGAAAAGGCAAACTTTTGGACTTGAAGTTACTTATACTACGTCAAACTAATTTGAGCGACGTCGCCCGTACTTTCAGCTACTTTTTATATACGTAGGACTACATGAAATGCTTCAACACTCTCAATAACAGAACACTTGTTCTTTCACGGGAATATTTCTTAAAATGGAACAAAAATATTCTGTGATAAGAATGCTTTCCCAAAAACAGAGCATTGATTCTGTTATATGAATCGGTTCCTATAACAGAACAAAAGTGTCCTGCTTTTGAAATCCATCCACATAACAGAACATTTGTTCTGTTTATGGGAGATTACTTGCAAAATATGACACTTCAAAGCACTTTAACATCATTTTTAGTACTTTGTTATACGTTACAGTGCTCCGGTGCATTTGTAAAGTACTTTGGTACACTTTTCAATCACTTTTATGTATTTTGAGTTACTTTCATATACTTTAAGCTACTTTCAGCTATTTTTGGACGTTGAGTACAAAAGTCTGTCTTTTCTTCTCATTTTTACTTAACAAGATAATTGATTGAAAACATTGAGTTAGTATTAAGATTTTATTAATAAAAACTCATTTCAATATCGTTGTATTAGAATTAAACCATGTTCGAACACATTTTCGTTAATATTAGAAAATACTTAACGTGTTTGGTATTAGCGTCAAAATTATTAGTATAGTACGAATATTGGGGATCCTGATAACCACACAGAGCTGTTCAATTTTTACAAGGTGAACGGTTAAACCGGAATCAAATTTTTGTTTTAAAATTTATCACAGTTTGTATAATATTAATACAAATTCAATACTAATTCTAAAATATTAATTCGTTTTTTCAAACACAAATACAAACGTTTTAAACAATGCATTTGTAGGAAATGTTATTACTGATATGAAGTATTCGTGAACTATTTCTTGAAATACTATGTTAATCATTGCCAGCTGAATATTTTCATATGACAACATTTTCTCTGTATGGTTTGCTAATTAAAAAACTGACTTGCAAGAATCAACTGAAAATATAAGTGTAAAACTGAAGAAAAAACACTTGCTCTGCCAGAATAAATATCATAACTTTTTACACTCATTCCAAATGAACAAGAAATAAAAAGTATGCTCGAATAAGGAAAAATCATATTTATGTTCCAAGAACGTTGTCTTAATTGATTTCACTATATAGTATTTTTATTGAAAATCTAATAGTAGTTTTCCATAGTAGATTGTTTTTAAAGTTGTTATCTAATTGTGAAACTATATGACTATGAGAAAATGAAGAATGAAATTAATGTCTGATAAAAAGATGAAATTGAATGTTGTTATATAAAACTGAAGTTATTTCTCGCCATATTTCCAACCAATCCTCTTATGTAAAAAAGCTCATCTAACCGAAGAGCGAAATTCATTGTGTATAAAGATTTAGGTGATTCGAAAGATGTGCATACTCTTTTAAAATTAGGATACGCCAACTATACGATTCTAACACTCACTTGACATTTCCATTCTACTAAAAACTTTTAATTCGAACATTATACGATATCTCTTACTATTATTACTAATAGTATGAAAGAAATAATCGCTCACGTAATGGATACAATATGTATCGTCTTGTAAACTGACGCAATAATCTTTTAAAACAGTAAAACTGTTCTACGAAAACTTCTATCCTTCTTACAGAATCAAAGGTTTTCCAAGTTTCTCTGATAAACTCAGAAACACACACAAATATCCTTATATTTTTCATCTAGAATCAAACAAAAGATAGATAATCATACCTTCATTCACAATATCATCCAATCGATGAAACACGACCAACTCAGTTTCTTCAGCTTCTTCAGGAAGAATAAGAGACAGTTTGGTAATCGATGAACTCACATTTATCACAGGAACGTTGCTGGATTGGATTTGAAACAGTTGCTCAAACATATAGTGAAGTCTTTGAGCTACTTGTGAAACAGTTAATTCTTCAAACAAATCACGTGAACAAACAAAATGACATGATAATCTCTTGTTATCGGATGATGGATTATATACAAATGTTAATGAAAAGTCAAATTTAGTTACTTCAGCTGCTTGTTCTAATGATAACTGTTCTAAATTTGCACCATCCAAACATAAATGTCCCGTATCTTTTGACACAGTAATAAAATCGAACATTGTCTCAAGAAATGGTACATTCGATTGGTTTAATCGATTATCACCAAGAATACGTTGAAGTGGATAATGAGAATGTTCAAGCATTGATAAACATTTTTCTTGTACATGCTCAACAAGTTCATCAAATGACCAAATAGAATCAATTTCTAAGCGATACGGTAATGTTGAAACAAACATTCCAATTAGATTCTGCAATTCACTTCGATATCGATTAGCATTGATAGAAGAAATACATAGATCAGTCTCACCATGGGTTAATTTGAATAGAAAGACATAAAATACGGATAATCCAAGTTGAAAGAGTGTAAGATGATGTGATGATGCATAATTTAGAAATGATATGCATAATTCGTTATCGAAAATGATTTCAGCTATTGATGCCAAACCTGATCGTTGTTGATCAGTTGATGAACGTTTTCGATCAACTGGTAATGATAATTGGCGCGCAAGATTATATCCTTCAAGTTGAGAATGCCAGAATTCACGAGATAATCTCATATCCATGATATGCTCATGAACAGAATAATCTATATAATTCAATGTATTTTCATCCATAGATACAGAGTCATCAGATTGATAAGCAAGAGAAAGATCACGAAGAAAGATTGATCTTGATGCTCCATCAAACATTGAATGGTGAATGCTAATCAATATGTGATCATTTTCAGTTAATAGATCATCATTCTCATATGAGATATTATCTTGAAATTGATGATAATGACGAAGAACATGACAACGAATAACACGTCCTTTTGATAAATCAGATGAATCAGCCTGATTTAATATTTCTTCGATAATTTCATTCATATGACGATGATCATCATTATGAATATTAACGATTGCCAATCGATTTGATTTCATATGATCATCGAGAATGATATTTGTATTGAAACAATGCTGTATGATATGGCCATTTATATCAAGATAAAGTGCTGTTCGAAGAATTTGATGTTTTGCGATAACATTTTGAAATGCATGATATAATCGAGTAATTGATATATGATCATTCATAGATGGTATACGATAAAGCGATGGAATAACATATATATTCTTCATTGTTGTTTTGTTGGATGAAAACCGAATTTGTTCATCTAAATAGATTCGTTCTTGTGCAAATGATGCTCGAGCTGGAATGAGAAAAAAGAATGAATACATATATATAGTTGATGATCCTATCTGTTTTAAATAGCTTTGTTTACCTTGAATGAGATGTAATGAAGACCAAGGATGATCGTCAAGAGTGTCGATGATATTGATAGATTGTTGAATGAGTTGAGCATGATGAATAATTGTTGGATGTTGGAATAGATTAGATATAGAGAGAGTATTTTGCTTTTGTTCTAAGTAAAATTCGATCTTGTATTGATGAAAAAGTTCTATCATTAGTAATGAATGACCACCAATAGTAAATATATTTGTATCAGTTGAGATTGGATTTTGTTTGAATATCTCACACCAAATACGATGAATACTAACTTCAATATCGTTTGTCGGTAATAATAGATCTATACCGTTGGTGAGATGCGTTGATGAGAAGTGAGGTGAAGGAAGAAGTTTTCGATCTATTTTTCCATTTGGATTCAGAGGTAATTTATCAAGAATGATGAATATTGATGGTATCATATGTGGTGGGAGATAAGATTGGCAATGTTGACGTAGTTCTTCCTCATTCATATGAGAAGAAGATTGAACATAAGCAACTAGATGATCATCATTCCATTTCATGACGATACAAGCAGAGATGGATGTAATGTTAAGTAAACATCGTTCAATCTCACCAAGTTCAATTCGTTGTCCATGAAGTTTGATTTGATGATCTTTTCTTCCTTGATAATGAAGAAGACCATTGTTATCCATTGTAACAAGATCACCTGTTTGATAAAATAACTCGCCATCTATTTCAACAAGAGCTTTTGCAGTTAAATCATCACGTGCAAGATAACCAGCAAAGACACCTGCTCCTCCCACAAATAATTCTCCTTCTTGATCGATAAACGCACTTTGTGCGAATTCATGTAAAATTAGGTTTTGGTAATTTGAAAGCGGTCTGCCTATAGGAAAGCTTTTAGTCTCCATTGATATATCGACAAGATGAAACGTGCAAGCAATTGTTGTTTCAGCAGGACCATACATGTTCCATAGTCGACACGTCTGGGTTACGGTATTTGATATTAAATTTATTAATTTCAAAGAGCAAGGCTCACCTAGAGATAAAACATGATATCAAAAATATTACATTTCATATAAACATCACATACCCCCACTACAAATTGATCGCAGGTATTGCGCCACATTCTGATGATTTTGTTGTTGTAGGAAAGTGAAGAAATCATTAATCATAGTTGGAACAGAAGCAAAACGAGTAATATTTTTCTGTATCATAACATTGGCAAGATAGTTAAAGTCCATGATCCCTCTTGGATGTAGTATAATCAGACTACTTCCAATCATAAAACTGCCCAATATATCGTGGACATGAACATCAAAAGAACAACGTGCCATCTGAAGAATTGTATCCTTTGCATTCAATACATCATCATAAACGTACGAACATATAAATCCAGTAAAGTTCTTGTGCTGGACTTGAACCTATAAGAAAGCAGAAAAATCATTCAAATACTAAATAGCTAAACTTGAACAAACCGCTTTAGGTTTTCCAGTCGAACCACTTGTGAAAACAATATAAGCAATGTCGTTGAGTGTAATTCTTATAATTGATAATTGATCAATATCAATATTCCTTGCCATATTATAAACAGTCAATATTGAATCAATATCAAGTGAAACAATATTATGATGAAACTTGGTCTTAGTTAAATCATGAACAAGAACAAGACGACTTTGAGTTTGTTGTATTAGCGCATGCAAACGATGTTGTGGATCTCGAGGTGATAATGGACAATAAGCACCACCAGCCATTTCAGTTGCCATTATACCAATTACCTATAGAATATGAAATTATCAATCACGCTAAACCTCAGCATCGAAAAATAACTCACCATTGACAGACTTCGCTCAACACATTGACATATTATTTCACCTGGAGAAACATGGTATTCATTAAGAAGAGTTAAAGATAATACTTGAACATAATGTAAAAGTTCACAATATGTTAATGATTGGTCGTCAAGTTCAACAGCTAGTTTTTGTGGATGTTTCATTACTTGATAGACAAACTCTTGATGAATACAAGTGCTAGAAGGAAATAACACTTGTGTATTATTTATTGATTGCATGAGTAATCTTTCATCAGGCATTACTAATGGTAGTTCATAGATTGATTGATTTGTTTGGTCATGAGCAAATGTAAACAATTGTTTGCAGATCGAATGAAATCGTTGTGCAACCTTTTCAATTGTATTTCGATTGAACAGATCAAGTGATCCATTGATTGTGCATGATAGTTGATTAGTTTTCGAATTATGTTGCATAGTGAGAGAAAAATCAAAGTTACTCATGATTTCCTCGTCATTACTTCGGATTGAGGCCATTGACATGGCACGAAGTCGACTATCATCGACCAGTACTTTATTTTCAACATTTTCATTTGACAGAAACTCGAATAATATGTCGAGAAATGCAGGCTTTGAAATATTGGAATGTTGGGCAAGAATACGTTTAAGAGGAAAGTAAGAATACTTCATAGTGCTTGTTATTATCTCATAAATATGTTCGATGAGCCGCCGGAAAGGCCAATGAGGATCTAATTGACACCGTAATGGAACGATATTTTCGAACAAACTAATTGCTGTTTTGAATTCATCTCTATGTCGAGTATCGGTATTAACCGCAACACACAAATCCGTCTCTCCATTTGTTAATTTGAACATAAAAGCATAATAAATGGCAAATACAAGATGTTCAAGTTTTATATTCATTGATGATGCATAATGAAGAAAGTAATGTGAGAGATCTTCACCAAAATCGACGAAAACAGATACTCCACGACCCGTTCGATCTTCATCCACAAGACGATATCGATCAAATGGTAATGGTAGAGACCGATCAAGCTGATAACCATGGAGGACATCAAGCCAAAACATACTAGCATCGGGCATTGACATTTGCTGCTCAACTATAGCAGCTAAATAAAAAAAAAACAAGAAATAGTATGCGACAGAAGAAAAACATCCAGCAGATTCATCTTTACAATCAACATATGTCTTCACAGAATGGTTCCTAATCAATCATATAAACTTAGTTGTTGTAAATGATTGCTGCATCCGATGAGATTTCAATATGTAATGATCAAAAAACATGATCCAGTCATTTTATTAGCTTTCCAACATTATTCGTAAAATCAATGTGCCAAAATTTCGGTTAGATGCGTTTTATACGGCAAAATGCATCAAGCCTGAAATTGTTTTAGCAAATAGATTGCAATGAGCACTTTTCACGGTAAAAGTTTCAGGCTTGGTGTATGTTGCTACTTTTAAAACGCACCGAATCGAGATTTTAGCATATTTTCGATATCAATAATGCTTAAAAACTAATAAAATGACTGAACCATGTTTTTTGATCATTACACATCAAAATCTCATCGAATAGAACTGATAATTTCAGGAAGTAAATGACTCAGTGTCCTCTACAACATATAAAAAAAATCAGACAATTCTGAATCATCTCACCATCGTTGGTATCCTTAAGTAGCTAACATCTTGTTCAGAAGCTCATTCTTAAAAATCGATTATTTCAGTCGAGGCTCTTTATAAGAATGTAATATTTTAAATTTGATAGTTTGGTGATGAAACTGAGGACTTGGCTAGGCTATAGTTAAGACAGCTGTTAACTAATACGAAAGGTTTTATTATGAGTTAGATGACTTATTGACTAATTGGAATAGCTCGTTCAAAATTACTTACTTTTAGCAATTGTTTCGTTGCTATATAGTAATTCTTGGATCTTCTTTTTAACATAGGGGAAGCAATATCGTTCGTTTTCTTGTCGCCATATTGGGTCCTTATAAAAATCCATGCGAAAAATTTGCTGACATTTCTCTTTTGATTCACATTGGCATTTTATTCCAACCTGAAGAGAATCTTCGGTCAGAAGACATCCATAATTGCGTGTTATTTCTTCACCAATATCAATGTCTCGTAGTGCGTAGCATTTTGTGACTTCAATAAAGCCAATATTTGGGTCACAAGAATGGTTAATGAATAAAGTATGGGGAAAACGCTTTTCACAATCATCAACATTATCAGAATCCATGACTGTATATTTAAATGGAACATTGAATAGATTATCGTCAACCATGTATGCTTGATAATTAATGAGTTTGCTTAATTTTGGGTTATTTTCAATCAACCTGAATAATTCTGCTTTGGTATATTTTCCTCGTTGATCATTATCAGGATAAAATGGCCATTCCTCGACCAAAGGGTTATATTCGTAAATCAATTCTTCACCTTTGGAAATTTTTTCCACTGCGAATACACCCTTCTCGTCGACACCGTATTTTGAGTCGTTCATAACTTTCAACTGAACTTTTTTGTAGAAAGGCATTTTTCAAACAATATCTGAAATAAAAACATAGGCCGATCAAGACTTACTCTTCTCTTATATTTTAGTAATAGCAAAAAGATATTTTAGCATTCAGAATATGTGATGTATTAGTCCTTTTCCTGAGGGTGTGTGTATGAAGATGAAACTGATGTGTAAATCTTCTACCCACATACACACTCTCACTCTTACCAGACCTTCAAAAATGATCATCGATTCGTTGACTGTCGTGTCGCCACTTGATAGAATCAATAAGTCACAAGTCTATGTTCGCTCTTGACTTATGCCACACACGACATCGTGGTAATTTCAACGCAATTCAACATCTGAATGGGATGTATTCACTTTGCTCGTAGCAACAAATTTCTGAGTACTAACAGGAAGGACTGTAAAATCAACACCAAGTAACAAAACTAGAGGTGACTGCGGAAGAGTATCCAATATAGTTGAATGAAGCAAATGATAGTAAGAGAAATCAGTAATTGCATCAAGATTGCTATGAATTTGAGCAGCAGCAGTAGATGTCGTACCACAGAATGATTGTATGTTTTGAGAAGAAGGTCCATATTGATAACCTCGCGTTGACAAATGAGTATAAATACTAGTTGCATCAGTCGTGAACCAGGTATTGTAAGTTGGGCTGGTAGAAAGTAGTGTTGTTGATTTTCGTTGAATTGCGGATACACAAGCAAGTAAATCGTTTGTTTTTACTGGATTCTCCTATAAGAAAAAGAGAATATAGATATTCATCAATAAACTTACATTGTTTTTAACTGATCATTATTAGAATTTTATTCATTAACATTTTGCATTTGTTCTTGTTGTAAATTCGTTTGTCTATCTTGTTATTGTCGTAATGTTACATGTTCACGTGTTTGTTCAAGAAAATCAAGTAATAATGGATGAATAGTTATTTGTATTGTAGGCTATTGTATCATAGCACGACAATAGAAACTAGCTCGTTTATTTAATGCACTGTTCATAGTATTATTATGTTTAGAATTATAATGTATATCAGCATCAACACCCGGTAAGAAAAATATGTGATACTTGATATTCAATTTTATTTATATATACACTTGAATCAATACTTACTTGAGACTGCTATTGTTTAGTTGAATTTATTGTTGTAAATGATGAATTTGATATTAAATCACGACATGTATACAGATTACATGAATCACTAGCAATTTGAACTTGAAAATTTAATTCTAAATCTATAGCTGGTGCAAATGTAATTTCATTTAGTGTATTGGTTGTTATTAATTGATGATCATCGAACATTGATGGATCTTGTAATGGAAACCTAAAATAATAAATTTATTATAAAATTAAATCTGAATTGAAACTCTTAAATATTTACCGAATACTAATATTTGATGCTCGTGTTGTTCCGTTTTCTGTCTCATCTTCATGTATTGATGATGGTCGTTCCCCCTTTTCCGAACTATAAACAAACAAAACAAAAATGAGAAAACTATTCATGTAGTTGTTATTAATCATTTCATGTTTCTTTGCGAATTGCTTCATGCTTTCTATTAATGTCTGATAAGTAGGATCATATGAATTTATTTTATTGTGCTGTCTGAAACAACAAAGCAAATCAAAGCAGCATATCATATAAAAAGCATGGTTTTAAAAGAAATCTTGAGTTTATTTAAAGCACGAAATTAAATCCTACATTCGTTGACGGTGTAAACCTGACGACGAGGCAAGTGTGGCTGCTTACACCAGTTAATAACGCTGCTTACTATTAGCATGCATATACGAAGCAATATATGGATTTTTCTTTTTATATTTTGGGAGAAAAAAAGTGCGCTAATTAAAAGAGAAACTTACTGAGTATGATGTGAAGGTCTACTAGGATCATGTGATTGTGTTCGTTTGTGACTTCGTGAATCAATACGATTTCGATCACGATTATGACCAGACTAAATAAAAAGATAATTGTATTAGATTTATCTTTGTTTTTTTTAAACTATTAATAAACATGTAAATAATTCACATCAAACAATACAATATAGTTATGAATATCAGAAAACTAAAACGAATTAGATTTATATAAAGACATGCACATAGAACACAACATCGAACATAAATTAAAATTCGAACCATTAGTATATTTGACCGTCGTGATAATTCATTTTGTTGTTGAATAGTAATAATATGTTGTTGTTGCTGTGGTGACTATAAAACTTATTTTTTTATACGATGCTAGATTTTCACACATACTTCCACAAGAAACTAATTACTGTCTCCTCGTCAATAAGACTTTTACCACTGGTAAAAATGCTAGTTAGCAGAAATTCGGAAATCCCTAACTCAAATTTCATACAACTAGTAATTACTGTCAACATTGGTATATATAATGATTTTCTAGCTCTTAATATTAAATTATATTTCTCTATAAATCTTTTATACCTTATTTGATTGTTTTTTCATAATTTGTGATATTTCTGATTTAACCGTATGTAATAACTCCTTTTCCAACCATTCATATCTTGCTAATTCTGGTTTTAATGTTTCATAAGATGTTTGAGATCGTCTGTTAAACAAAAATATTAAAAAAATGTCATATTTCAAATATATTTTACTTTAATGTTTCAATTTTTTGTCCTAATATTAAATGTTCATATTCTAATCGTTTTATTCTTTCATCATCTTCACTTTCATCAATATTTTCTAAAATATTTTTTGTACTACCAGCTTGTGCATTTAATAAATTTGAATTTGATGAAGAATTATTTTCGTCATTTGAATGATTAATTGGTTCAATTAATTGTGTTGATGTTATTGTACGAATTAATTGTGAAAAACGTTTACCAATAATTGAATCAAGATTTATATCAATACCTTTCATATCCCATTGAACATTTAAAAACCATTTTGGACTACGAGAGTTAAGTATATGTTTAGCACGTGAATGCATTAAATATTGGCCACTTGGTACACAACACGCATTTAAAATAATATTTGGCGATGATAATGAACGCGCAGGTTTCCAATTTTTATTTGTTTGTTGAAAATTTTCAGCAAAACGAAAACGAAAACCTTCAAATGAACTTGAACTTATTATTGCACCACATGAACATGCTGATATTGTTGTTTTATCAAGTATCGGAATAGATTCTTGAGTTATTATTCCTGATGATGTTAAATTATCCGTTGTTGTTAATTTTGTCGGTGGATTATATTGTTGAAGTGATATAGCAATATCTCAATCAACAATATGTAATTGAAACATAAGATTAAGTTCTCTATTAGATGTAGAAGATGTTGGAATATTAACAATTGAACGTAAACGTGTTGTACTATTTATTGTAGTTATAAATGCACCACGTTGTTCATTCCAATGTTCATAAGTATTTTTATAATTTAATCAATAGCGTATTCCTATATATAAAAGAAATTGAATGAAAAACAAACAAAACAAGAAGTTTTACATACCTTTATCAATAGCACCAGGTTGCCAATAGAAACTTGGTTTTGTTAAACGAATAAAATAAGCTTCTTTATCTGGATCATCCGACTAAAATAAGAATTAAGTTTTTTGTTAAAAGAAGAAAAACTTGAAACTTACTTGTAATGAATTTTTTAAAAGTAATTTTGTTTCAAAATAAGCAGCATCTTGAAAACTACCTGTATGTAATAACTGTCCTAGACTAAGTTTAATATTTAACAGTGCATTAATTAATGGTTTATTATATAATAATAAAGAATTTTTTTCATCATAATTTGTTAACTTCACAAATATTGGTACTTTTTTATCACCATTTTCAAATTTAACTATTGTATTTGACGGCGTTTGACCCATAACTTCAAAACCTTTCATTGATATATCTATTTTATATGTAAACAATGTTGGTGGTGTTGTTTGTTGATCTTTTTCTGGTTCATCATCATCGTCATCTTCATCTTCATTTTCATTTTCTGTATCTGTTGAACCAATACGCATAATAGGTACTGTTGATGATGATGATAAACGCGTATGTTTTGTTGCTCCAAAATGAAATTGATCAAATCCAGAAACTTTTTCAATAATTTCATTTGTTTCATGTATAATTACTTTTGAAACAAAAACTAATTGTGCAAGAAAATCAGCTGTTATAGTTAATTTAAGTACATCAATTTTTGTATAAAGATTTAAACGACCTTTTTTTTATTTTCTTGTTCTTGTTGAATAGAATAATTTCCATAACAATGTACTTCAGGAAAATCAACTCGTACATAATTATCTGAACTAATTGTTGGAGGCTGTTGATGATCATGATTATTATTATTTAAAAAATGTAAAACATGTTTATGTATAATAGTTGTATAACGTGATTTCATTCCACCAATATTAGCAACATCTATTTTATATTGAGCTTTTAATGTTGAAAGAAGTGTTGTAGAAAATATCATTCCTTGACAATGTACTGTTATATGAGCTTCGAGTATAGGTCGTTTCGATGATGTTGATAGATTTTGTTGAGTTTGTAATGGATGTGAATTAATATTATGATTAATTGAATCTTTACGACGTGTACCTAAACGTTTTTTTGTGGTTGTTGTTTGTCTTAATGGAATTGGTGTATGAGATTCTTCAATGGTATGATTTAAATTTGTATGAATTAATTCATTATCTGTATGTTTTTGTTGGTATTGAAGATGTTTGTTGTGTATCTTCGGGAAGAAATTATTGAACATAAGATGTTATTAAACGACCAGCACGATTAACAAGATTATGAACTTCTTGTGATCTTAATGGTACATCCATTGCAATTGTACCAATATTTGTTACACTACTTAATATTAAATTAATACCACGCGTTTCAAGTGATGTTCATACTTGAGATTTACCAACAATTGTATCAAGAACAGATATTTATCGATTGAAAGATTATCGGTAGACGTAGAAAGAGTTTCTTTTAAAGAAAGTGATGTTGAACCAATTTTAAAAATTAATGAACCATCATATCTAAATATTAAATTTAATTAAGTGTGTAATATTAATCTTCATCTTACTTTTTTGTATTTTGATTATTTATTGTAGATTGTAAAGCTCAAAGTCTTTGTGATAAACTAACATTTTCTTGAACTTTTTTCATACAACCATTAACTTTTAAACCACCTAACGAAGGTGCATAATGTATTTCATCAATAATTAACCAACCAAATGATGAAAGTAACAGTGTTTCATTTGTTACATTTATTGCCATATGACGTGTTGGATGTTGTTGTTGTGGTACATGTTCATTTGGTGGTTGTGAACCACTTCGTTGCTGTTTTCGTGATATTATTGATGGTTGATTTGGTTTTATTTCTGGTACAATTCTATAATTAGAAACAAGTTCACGTAATTTTTTCCAACATTGTCGTTCAGAATTATCTAATTCATTATTATCAAGATGAAGGATATTCGGGTCAAGTGATCTTAAAACAAGAATTTGAATACCATTTTCAAATGTAAGAATAGTAGAATCATTTTGTTGTTCATTTGTATTTGTATCAAATTTTGTTATTTCATCAATACCTGTATATTCAAGTGCATTACCAACAACTGTATAAAATTGATAAATAAGACGTATAAGTGATAACTTTACTTCGTGTTGTACACGTTGAGCACGTGTACCAGCTTGTACATTAGCAGAATGTAATTGATCATATTCAGGTGATTGTCTACAAATACTTTGAACACTTAAATTAGTTACAAAAAGTACTGATAATTCATTCGATGTATTTAATATTGATTAATAAATATGTGATAGACGAAATTGAACGATTGATGATAAAGGATGATTGATTGATGATTGAGATTCATTTGTTGGTTAATCTGGTAAAATTTTTACATTAAATCATTTAATTTGTGCAGAACCAAAAACCATCTGACCTAATTTTTCAAATAATGGTTCGATTGATGATGAAACAGATATTTCTACATCAGCATATTCAAGTAAAATTTTAAATAATTGTTCAACTGAACCAGCATATTCACGTGTTATATCCGTATAATAAGTTGTTTCATTATCATGATTACTATCATTTAATCGTATACCACTTGTATTACCTTCAAAATCTGATTCATCATGACCAACACTTAAACGTTTGTAACCATTTGTATTGTTTACATTAACTGCTGGTTCAAAACGTCGTATAGCATCAGCTGTAATATATTAGAGAAAAAAAAACAAATGAGAAATTCAATTCTAATATATTAATTTATTTGATTTTTATATTTTGTTAAGAAAGAAAAAGAAGCACCATAATCATGCACATGCATCTATTACTTTTTGTTTATTAAATAACTCCATATACACCATATATGTAAATATATATATATATATTATTCGATCATGTGAATGAATAGGTGAATAAGCATGTTTAGTATTTTATTTCATTTATAATATCCTTTTATTTATTTATTTATATCTTACCTTCCTGAACTATTATACTTATATGATCTGTGGTTGGTGCTATAATACACATTTACGAATTCGTGCTTGTACGAATAGTGAGATAAGACGAAAAGGTGCAAAACAACAGTTAGAATTAGGGAAAAGAAGAATACGAAGTTGGGTGTAGTAAGAAATATAGATTAAAATAAACTGAAGCGAGTACTAATCAGTTTGCTTAGTCTTACAGTCATTGAGCTTGAACAGAAATCAGTATTTTATCTAGTGGGGAATAGGGACATGGAACATTTTGCACTACAGAAGTCTGCATTTATCCCACCTCCCCCTAATCAACTACTATCTATTTGCAAGTGTCATTCTATAAATTACTGCAAAAAAAGTGCTTTTATATATCGTATTATGTGTTTTCATCTATCATTCACTAAGTACAAAACAAAAGCAAGAAATAAACATTTTCTAAATATTAATCCTACCGTTGGATATTTTTTCTCGCATAACTACTCATGAAAAAAGAAAATAATATTTTGATATATTGATTAACGAAAAAAAACTAAATTAATAATTTGAATTTAAAATAAAATTTACCTAGAAAACTTGATGCACGTCGACCATCACCTCCAGATAAATCATTGTTGTCATTATTCATTTCGATCGTTGTGTCTTTATTGTTTATATTTGATCGTGTATTTTGTACTGTTGTACGTCTTTGAATAGCTGAACCATTTGTTATTGAACTATCATATCCATCATGTTGTTTAGTTGGTATATGTGTTGGAGGACGTGGATGTGCTGTAACAAATTCATGTCCAATTAAACGTTGAACACGATCAACCATTGTTGGTGCTCGTACAACAGCTGGTGGTTGTTCTTGATCATTACTAGTTGTTGGTAATATACTATTGATAGGTGATGTTGTTGTTGATGATGAAGGTGGTTGAACAATAATTTTATGTGGTTGTTGTTTAATTGTTTGAGCCCATTCACGACATGATACACGTATACCTTGTTTAAGTAATTGTAAGTCTAGTATAATATTTGGTTGAAGATTCATATTCATTTGAGTATTACAATTAAATTGTTTGCGGAGTTCAGTAACCAATTGACAAACAGGATGCGAAAGAAGGTATTTTGTTTTTGAAGTTAATAAATCATAGAATTTACTTTGTGATAAAGTTGATACAGGTTTTGTTTCAACAAGAAAATAAGTTAGAATAACATCAAGACGCTTTTCACGTTTACGAAGTAGTTTTTCTACTGCTTTTTGTATACGATTAATAACACAAAACCAAACAGGAACCGTTGGTGGTAATATTAAAAGAAAATTCCAATCATAACGTGTATATGAAAAAAGTTTTTTAAGTGCTGTAACAGTTTGTTTTGCACTAGCTGTACTTGTACGTGGTCGTTTGGATGAATTCGATGTTGAATGTGTGTGATGTGATGGGTAAAGGAAATGATACCCAGACATGATCAATTGAATCATTAAATAAATTATTTGATGATGACCTAGATAATATTGGAACGACTGAAGAATTAGTTGTAGTAGTAGCCGGTGGAACGTTTGTAGGTAAATTTATTGCCGATGGATTTGCTAGTAATGGCCAAATATATAAAAATAATAAATATGTGTCTTAATCACACGTCATAGTATGATAACTATCGGTAGCTGCTGTCTTAACTTCTAAGTTTTTCCAGTTTTATGAGTATTATTACGAAGTTTTAATAAATCAAAATGTACTAAACAATTCAAATTCGAACTTTTGTTTTTTGCTTCGAAACGATAAAATCAAAATGTTTTTCAAGTATTACATCTATGCATTATTAATGATAATTATAAGTCTATTGATCGATAGATTTATCTAAAAGTGTATTCATATGGTTTATGATGAAGTTGATTTCTGTATAATAGAAAAATAAAATTTAAGATTTTTACTGAAAAAATTTCTCAGTTTTAATTGTTAAGGAATCTACAAATGTTTTTCTACTATGACAACTAATATATATGAAATAGATTTAATGAATAAGAAAACAAATAAGAAGTTTAGAAGTGAATAAATTATAAATACTTGAATAAATAATATAATTGTGAATATATTTTAATTTTGAGCATCTAAAACATGTAATCGAGTATTATTAATGAGTGAATGTGTTTTGAGTTGTTTTAACATTTCATGAGCAATAGTTTCTTCTGATTTATTTCTACTAGCTACTATTTGATAAGATCCACATGGTTGAATACGACGTATTTGTCTAATAAGATTTTGAGCATATATAGATATAGACGATAAAGAAAAAGATGATAGTATTTGTAAAGCATAGATATCATTTGATGATGTCTTATTTTTTTGATTAGATAATTTCTGAATAAAAAATGTAAATAAATTCTGATTTACATTTCATATTTGCTTAATAGAAATGAGTTGAAGTATTATTTTGATTCGAACGATGTAGACAAAGAATATTTTCTAAACCAGTATATGTTGATGTATTAGAAAATTGAACTTCATTTTCATTAATTGACTCAAAATCTGAATCTTGCTCTTTTGCAGCTGATGATGTTGTTTGTTCTTTTTCATTAAGTTTATTATAAACAAGTGTTGCAATTGTGTCAATTGAAAGTCCTTGAAAAGCAGATAATGGTATTTAAATACCAGTTTCTTGACCTAACCAATTATATAATGAAACAGCAGCTAATGAATCCATACTTTGACTAACAAGTGAACGATCAATAACTATACGATCAACACTAGCTGCACCTAATAATCGTGCAACAGCTGATTGAGTTTGTTCAATAATTGTTTCTTTTTTATTCATACTAGACTCAGTGGAATTATTTTTTCCTGATAATGATGATGATGATATTTGATCAACTATTTTTCTTAAATAAGATGTAGCTAATATTGGATAATTTCGATGTAATGTTTGCCAATTAACAGCAAAAATAACAGGACATGAACAAATCTTTTGAGCTTGATGAAAACATTCAATTAATTCGAATACAGTTATTGTTGGCATTAATTCAAAATCTTGTGTTTCTTTTAAAGTACTGAGCATTTCTTTATGACGATGGAACATTCCAGCACCACTTACAGCTGATAAACTAATTGAAAGTGCTGGTAAATTAAGTATTGTAAAACGATAATGAGCAAGTGCATCAAGAAATTGATTACTAGCATTACAACCAACAGATGAAACTTTAAGTAAATAATTTCGAATTGATGAAAACATAATAAAAAAATGAATAGGAGCATGCAGAAATTGTGTAGCTTGATGAAGATACCAAGCACCACGAACTTTTGGTGGTAAAACAAGTGATAAATGTTCTTGTGTTAAATTACCTAGAGTACGATCTTCTGAAACAACAGCACTATGAATAATACCACGAATAGGATAAGAAGTTTTTTGAAATCTTTCAATTAAATCATGAACTTGTTGAAAATTTGTTACATCTGCTTGAACAACATCAACATGAGCATTATATTCTTTTGTTGTTCGTTTTAATCTTAACCAATCATCATATTGTGGATTCGAAGGTTTTTCAAGTTGAACTAATGTTCGACGACTCATAAGTGCTATATGTTTAACACCTCGTTGTTCAATCATCCATCGAGACATTGTTAAACCAAGACCACCAAAACCACCAGATATTAAAATTGTTCCTTGATTACAAACTTCTGATGGAAACATTGTATTGTCACTTACAACTATTGATTAAGAAAATAATAATTGAAAGAAAATAAAAAGATATGATTACCTTTTAATAAGCTAGTAGGTTGTTTTTTATGAATACTTAATGGTTGATCAGATGAACTTATACGAAAAACTGTTTTACCCATAACGTGACCACTATTACATCTTAATAATGCTTCTATTACTTGAGATGGTTCATGACTAACTGTTGGTTCAACAGCACGTAATTTACGTTGAATAAATAAATCAATTGCTTCTTCAAGCATAAGATGAATAAGAGGTGATACATGATCAGCAAGTGAAATAAAATCTGATCTTAATTAAAACATTGATAAATTGCTATTATGATAAATATCTCGTTTATCCCATTCAACAAAATGACCATGATATACTAATAATTTAATTGATTCTTTGAGTAAATTGCCTGATAACGAATTAACAATAACATCAACACCTTAGGGAAGAATTCGACGTATATCATTAACAAAAGAAGCATCTCGACTATTAAATACATGTTCAATACCATAATCTTCACGAAGAAAACGTCGTTTTTCTTCAGTGCCAGCTGTAGCAATAACACGAGCACCAATATATTGACAATATCGAATACACCATTGGCCTGCAGCACCTGTTGCAGCATGAATAAGAACAGTTTGACCAGCTTGTAAATGAACACGATATTTAAGAGAATATATAACTGTTAAAATTGGACATGGTAGACCACATAATTATTCATCAGTAAGAGGAAAATCAGATGGAATACGTATAATAAGTTGTGAATTAATCATAATATGAGAATGATATGTACCATCACCAGTAACACCGACAACATGATCACCAACTTGACAATTGGTTGTAGGACATGCACGTACAATAGTACCAACAAAATCTGAACCTGGTTCTGTATCTTGATTAACTTTTGGTTGATTTTCATTAGATTGTGCAAAAGTACGTGCATGTGGATAAAGACCACGTGACTTGAGTACATCACGAGAATTAATACCAACACAATGAACACCAGGCCTCGAAATGGGCCGCCCGACCCAATGGCCCGGCCCGGTCCAACGTGGCCCGGGCCACCTTGAAGAGCCCAACCTTTTGGGCCGGGCGGGCCTTATCAGTTCGGCCCAGTGAGTCGGGCGGGCCGGGCCTTAGTCGGATGCCCAACTCTATATTATTGTTAAGTTATCAACCAATTCATATGAATGATGTCGCTTGTTACTAGTACTTGAATATCATTTAATAAAATCAACCATCAGAATTGGATGATTCACATAATGTCATACCATTACGTAGCTGTTATTAGTAACAATATACCCGAATTTCTTATGAATTATTTTATATATATATAGTTAAAATTTTTTCTAATTACTGTTGGGCCGGGCCGGGCGGGCCTTATCAACTCGGCCCAGTCGATCGGGCGGGCCGGGCAACGTTGAAGCGCCCGACCTTCTGGGCCGGGCGGGCCTTATCAGCTCGGCCCAGTAAATCGGGCGGGCCGGGCCACGAAAAAGTGGCCCGATTTCGAGGCCTGATGAACATGAACTTCTACCATACCTGGTAACAATTCTTTTTCTCTATCTTCTTCAATCCATGTTAATTCAGAAAGAACACGAGATTGTGGTACACAAAGACGGAATGATTTTTGATCAGCATCTCGTTTGGGAATAATAGAAATTTGTTCTAATTTACATTTCTCTTGTTCATCATTATTTTGTAACATTTCATAATGCCATGTTAAATGTTGAACTTGATTTTGATTTGTATGATTAAGATGGCGGTCAATTTGACAAGTATCAGTTGAATATCTTGAATTAATCATATATTCTATTAAAGTATGAATAAATATTAATTCATTATTTAATGATGTTTGAAGATCAATAAGTTTTAATCGATGTCATTCATATTCAGTTAGTAAAGTTCGTTCAAGACCAATAAATGGTGATGGAATTATATTAAGATTCGAATCATTATTTAATTGAGCATGATCTGTAAGAACATACACAAATGGATGAAAATGTGGTGATAAGTTTTGAATTGTTTGAAGAATACGTGATAATATTCCAGATATAAATTCTTCATTTTGTTTAAATGCTAAATCATCATTATTTTCATTCAATGATACTTGATCAAGTTATCATGCAAAAATAATAGATACTTGTTTATAAGTAGTTAATAGAATTGATATTGAAGAACAAATAATACTTAATGTCGAATTTTGAATATAAAATTTGTTTTTATTATTTTGATCGTCTTTAGTAAATATTAACTATGTTTGATTTATTCTTTCATCAAGTCTTTGTAATACTTCCTTTGATATTATTTTTTTATAAATAATCAATGTAGTTTCATATTGATTTAATAAAATTAAATCCTTAAATTTGTTCTAATAATGTTTTCCATTGTTGAATATTATTTAATACACGATTATTATCATCATCATCATCAGATGACCACTATTGATCAATAAAACCAAAAATATGATGAAAATAATGAGAAATATGAACTATTTTAAGTAATTAAAGAATTCTTTTTTGTTAAGTCTTGATTACATTGAAGATGATTAGAAGAAAAAATAATATCAAATGATGCTATTGGTATTTTTTCAAATGTTTTATTATCATATAAATCAATTGTTTCATCATAAATAATAGATAAATTTTTTGTTTGATTATTTATATGTGTATTAAATGTTTGTTGAGTATTTGCAAATTGTATTGAATCAGAATCAGCATAATGTAAATCAATTAATAAAAAGATCAAGAATAGGTAAAATATCTGAACAATCACTATCATTTAACCAAAATATACGTCATCGATAATTTTCAAATGAATTATCTTTAGTTTGTTCATATTGTAATTGTAAATGTTGACAAATCGAATGAAAAATTTGTTGTGTTTTAGTTGCACTTAGAAGAGTTTTAACTTGTTGAAAAGTTTCTCCAATTTCCTCATCACCAACAAATATATCTAATCCATTTTTTTCTCCACTAAAAATATCTTTTAAATGTAAACCATGTTTATTTAATATGATTAAAAATGGTTTTAAACGAGGAGAACGTTCAATTAATTGAATAAGACGAAGTTGTGTTGAATGCCATGTTACTCCTTCATGTAAAGTTGAAACAAGAGAACGACATACATTTAATAATGGATGATGTTGTTTATTTAAATCAAGATCTTTAATTGCCATCTGAGCATAATAAGCAGCTAATTCATTAAATGGTTCTATTGATTCAATTAAATCTTGATTATTAATAGAATTAAGTTCGTTATTAAGAATTTGATTAGGTGATAGAAGTAAATGTGATATATCTTTTATTATTGGTGAATCAGTCCATACTCTTTTCATACAATAATCTTTTATAATTGTATTTAAATATGTTTTTTAATCAGTATTAGGTAAATCAGTTGTTAGATTTCATTTATCATCAATTGTTTTTTCCATTCACCCATCGACCAGATTGTATACGTTGAATTTGTTGAATATCAACACCTTCTAATGTAAATATTGGTTCTTCTATTTTATTACCCATTGGAAATATCCATAAATCAAGATTATATATTTCTTCTTGACCTATACCACATATATTATCATGACAGAGTACACGTACTTCGACATTTGTTGATTGATTCATTTTTGTTTTAATTTTACTTGAATAAATAAATTTTTGGATACGTACTGGAAGAAATGTTGTGTCAATACCTGGTAATAAAACTAGAAATGGATGTAAAGAAGAATCCATTATAGATGGATGAAGTAAATAAAAAGATAAAGAATCATTATCATCATGATCATTTGATAATTCAGATATAACTGTAGTTGAAGTACCACGTAATGTTTTTATTTTTTTGAAAACTAGATCCATATTGATAAGCACTTGTTATATCTTGTGTTGTCCATCTATCAGGTATTGTTAATGATTTTGTTGTTTAGAATCTATTTCAATTTTACTTTGAACATGTAAAGTAAATTTATTTAATGAATATTTATTAAGATTATCTTGATTACAAAATATAATATATCATTGACGTATTGGCATAATTATTAGTGTAAATACTTCAATTAACTTATGTTTATTAAGAATAAGTGCTTTAACAAATTTAACATCTTCAAAACTAATTGTTGGTTGTTTTTGATCATCTTTTGATGAGAGTAATTGATGACAAGCAGCTGTTGCAAGTTCAAGATAAGCAACAGCTGGAAAAAGAATTGCATCTTGAATTTTATGATCTTTTAAAAAAGAATGTTGTGGTAAATTAATATTAATAAGACTTTTCTATGTTGCACTTGTTTGTTCATTTTCTTTTCTTTTTAATGTTAGAAGAATAAGTGGTGGTGATGATTGTTGCTGGTTTGTTAATTCATAACATTCACGAGTTGATTTTACTAAAACTGGATGTGGTGAAGTTTCGAGAAAAACATTTTTTGCTTCATCTTTTATAATTAATGTTATAGCATCATAAAATCGAACAGTTTTTTCATACATTTGACTATCCAGTGGCATATTATCATCAGTAACACTTGAATAAAGTTTTGCTTTTGCACATACTGCGATATAATCTTAAAAAAAAATAAAATTTCAATATAAAATAAAATATAGTAATATTCTTACTGTTTTCAGATGTTTCTTGTTGTTCTCCAGCATTTTCTTTCACGCAATTAATTCAATTTCCTCGATTGCATGATATTAAAACTTCTATATGATCACCTTGTAAGGTTACATCATAAAATATAGGGTGCAAATGAATAAATATCAGGAGGTAATGATGATGTCCAATCATTGATAAAAGCTATAATAATTAAGTTTTCTTTTTTATTATACTAAAATATAAAATAAATTATATTACCTCGAAAAAGTTTTTTTGTTCAAATACAAAACACACTTAAGTTTTGTTCGCTGCAATATCAACAGTCCATATTTGAATTGAATTTCATATATGAGGATAATATATATGAATAGTCATCTTGATAGAAATATATGAAACAATTTTATTTCACAAAATAAAATTGGTGATGAATATCTATAACACAAAAAATATGTTATTACCTATATGTACATTGAAAATGATTTTGAATGAATATGAAATATGATTTTTCTATAGCGTATATGAAGGAGAGTCTTGTTTACTTGTATACACTTTATAAATAGTTATCGATGATTATAAAATACAATCATCCTTGTTATGACGTGTTTCAAGGAGACACATTCGTACTCGTATGCATATTAGAGGTAATTATAGATGATTTTAAAAAATAATTTTTTTTATGATGGGTATGGCGAAGATAAATTATTCCTTGTATGCTCATTAAAAAGAATTTCGAATGATTTTAAAATATGATATTTTTTATGGCGTATATCAAAAAGATAGATTCTTATCTGTATGTACATTAAAAGTAATTACTAATGATTCTAAAATATAATCATTTGGTGTGACAGGTAAGAAGGAGAATGAAAAAAAATCACTTAATTGATTTTACAAAATGTAATCTATTCAAGATGTTTTCACCACCATGAACAAGACTGATGTTTTCATATATTCTTATTATACAATATCAATTTGAAAAGCAGTTATAGAGAATGAAAAATGATATTCTAGCGGTGCTCATATGTATTCACCCGTAAATTTCTATTTGTTTTTGAGAATACGATATTCAAAAAAATAAAAGTAATAACATCTGTTTTCAAATTATAAAATCGAAATCGAATACATACAGGCACGTCTAAAAATTCGCATTTTATTGAGCAATTGGAACATCTTCTATAAATCTTTCTAAAATAGATATAATCGAATTAAATGATGATAATTGTACAATAATTTAAATGGTTAATTGAATTACTTATATAATTTAATAACAATTTTTGGAGTGTCCGTTACGTTTCATAATCAGATGCTTAAATATGAAAAACGGTTGTTCTTCTAAAATAAAAATAAATAATATAAGGACAAAGAGTAATAAAAAGTATTAACTTCAGTAATATTCTCTTTATCTAAATATTTATTTCTATCAAAAATTCAGATTAATATGCATCAGTCTATTGTTCTGTAAGTGACAGACAGATTATCAAAAGACACGAATAAATGAGATTATAACTGTTTAAAGAAAGCAACTTTAAAAACTTTGAGTTTTTTATCCAAGGTATCTTTTATCTTAATACCATTAGAATGTAAAAGCTAATTATTATTTGTATGCAAATCTGCCCTCTATAATATGTATTACTCTAACTCGATACAACTATCAACTTTCTATTCTCCAAACATATCGAAGAGAGATAAAAAAAAGACAAGTCAAGGAGAGGAAGAGACTAGAGAGAGAGCGAAGGTGAAAGACATCGATAAAAATGCACGGAGAGAGAAAATATATCGAGAGGAAAGAAAGAAGAAACAGGTAGTAGGGGAGAAAAAGAGCACGTGTTAGTGAAATAGACAAAAGGATGTCCGCCAACTTTTTTGGGCACAACTGTACACTTAAGTTTTCGTTTTAGTTTATTTTTCTTTAAATAAACTGTACCGTAATAACAAAGATTTTATGTAAACAAACAAATTCTTTTATATAAAAAAAAAGAAAATTAATCTGTTATTTATTAATTATATCATAATGTTTTTGTCATCGTTGAATATATCTAGAGAATATCTTTTAATTTTGTTAATCATTGTGAAGAAAAAAGAACTGTGATACTTCGAAATCTATTGCTATAGAAAATTAAAAGATTCATTTAAAAAAACGCGAAATATTTTTTAAACGATTTAATATTAAATTCCATTAAATTATTTTGAAAATAAGAATGAAATATTATTTCTATTGATAATATACTCAACCATACGTTCGTTGATTCTCAAATATTTTCATATCAAAATAAAATCAATAAAAACATAAAGCATAACATTGACATATAATTTAATAGGCTTTTTCAATATGTTTATTTTCTTATGATTTAATATTTATTGAAAAAGTTTATTTTATATATATTGATGTTTCATAAAATTCTGTTTTATATAGTCTTGATGAAAATAGATGTACAATAAAACTAATCATTTGTAAAAAATAAAATATCCTTGTCATCATAATCATAATTAAGTAGATGATAAATTTCTATAAAATTATTTTTGATTATTAGAGGGTGTGGGTGAGGGTATCGTGTGGGTACGGGTGTGAGTGTGGGTGTGGCTAAAGATATAAAAATTAAAATATATATGACCTTCAAAATTTTTTATTCTAAAAAGTATTAATTCCAGTTTGAAAAAAAAACGTTCATTACTTGTAATAGATGTGTCTTAGTCACACATATCATGGTATGATCACTATCTTATCTTCTACTTTTTTTCAGTTTATGAGTATTATTACAAAGTTCTAATATATCAAAATGTCGTGAACAATTCAGATCGGAAATACCATCTCGTCTGTCTAGTAGGTAAGCGTAATACTTTGATAATTTCTTTTAACTTACATCAGTTGATTGTTTTCTTTTTGATTTATGTTTTGATGAAGCTCTTGTTGTTTGCGCTTTATCAATTTGTATCATTATTGTTAAAATATGTATACGTTGTTGTTCTTGTTGTTTAGCTGCATTATTAATTAATTTAAAACATACATGTTTTAAACCAAATTCATTCGTAACAAATCCGACATTTGTTTTATTATTATCAAGTGGAAAATGTGTTTGTATATGATTTGGTAAACGAAATTATAATCGACAACGTTGTGATTGTATCGCATGAGTATTAGTATTTTCAAATCGACGAAATTGTTCTGTTATTAATTGAATTTTAAAAACATCAGCTGTTGATTGATCACAATTAGATAAAATTGTTTCCATTTGTATTTGTTTACACGAAAGTGGAAATAATGATATTGTAACAATATCAACATGTGTACGTAACTCAGTTAATTGAATATTATCTTTAGCTAAACCAACTTGTAATAAACAAACATTTATTTTAAATAATTGTAAAGATATTTTTGTTGCTGATAAATCTACTGATGTTATAGAAGGATTTGATTTTGTTTTTGCTTGAATATGAAGACCACCAAGAATAGATATTGGATGAATATCATATGTTTTCCATTTTTCAATATATGTTGTTAAACTTTCAAGCATAAGTGGTGTTAAAAGAATATTAAATGCTCCGATAAATCGAAGACATACTTCTCTTTCTGTAGCAATTATATCTGATGCATTTACTGGTGATATTGTTTGAGCAATTGAAAGACGTGGCCGAGAATTTGCTGTTGTTGTTGATGATGATGTTTGTGATTGAGATTGTTATTGTTGAGATGGTGGTTGTCGAGATTATGGAGTAGTAAATGACTGTGAAGATGGAGACATTTCAGATAAATATGAGCAACAAAAACTTTGAGATACACAATTAAAATCAAGTATTGGACGAGGATCAATTTGATCTTGTTGAATATTTAGTAGGAATGTAGCAATACTGGACCGTGTTGAAGAACAATAATGAAATAAATAACGAATATATATTATGCATAAAAGAGTCGATTTTGGTATACGCATTTTCATTTGATTACGTAAACTTATCCATGAAGAACTAGGAAGAGATGGTTGTAGTACAGTATTATATTCCATGTTTGATGCAGTTCCCTAAAAGATAGAAAAATTTCTATTATATCTCATCTTTAAACAAATTATTCAATTCTTAATATTTGAAAAATCTGAATATACTTTTTTACTGTATTTAGCTATGTATAATATGAATCGAAAAAATCGAGATAATTCTTTTTTGAAAGGCTTAAAATCGAAATTCATCAGTCTAGTTTGTTTCCTATATAAAATAAGTAGCTCAAAGTTAGTTAGTATATGAAATAGTAGAAAAAATAAGTAATGTTGATTTTTGTAATTATGACTATCTCACTAAATAAATAAATCTAATATCGCAGAACAAAAAAACTATGATTGATTTTTCTTTCAAATGATATACATACTTTTTGAGGTAGAAAAGTTGTACTATTTCTTGTTTGTTGTCTTCGTAGTATTTCTTCTAATGCTGTTAATGAATCAATTGATAATGAACGTGATGAATTTGTTGATAGATTTTATTTATTACCAATTGATGTTAAAAATAGATTTAAATCTGAATGTATTGATGATAAAGTTAATGATTGTTGTTGCATTATAGTTAATGATGATATTGGTGATGATTCCGTAATATTATTTGTATTATTATTTAAAGTTGAATTTAAACTTGTTTGACTTGCACTTGTTAATGATAAATGTTGATTAGATGTTAAATAATCATCACTTCCTGGTTTTTGAGGTGATGAAACGATATTTATATTATTTAATAGTATTGAAGATGATGAACGTTTATGTTCATTTCATTCAATAATTGATTTATGTTTTAAATTCATTAATAAATTAGTACGTGATAATGAATATAAATCTGTTGGTACACTACGTTATAATGGATTATCATTTATATTTTGATGTTGTTCATTAGATTGTTTATGTTGTCCACAAACATCAAATGGATAAAAAGTTTCTTCATCATCTAATTCATGATGAAATCGATTAACATGTTCAGATATAAAATGTGAATGTAAAACATGTAAATCCGGACGGAATAATGAACGACCAAATAATGATTGTTCACTAAGACGAAATGTACTTTTAAAAAATTGTTCACCTTGTACAAGTGTATAATAATTTGTTGAACCACCAAGACATGCACATGATAATATATTAGAATTGGTTGCTGAACCAACATAAGATGGATGGTTTAGATTTATTGATATTGTTGGAATATTTAATGTTTGTTAAAATTTAGGATTATAAAGAAAATGAAATGGTTGGGAATGTTGATCATGTCGACGAAGAAATTCTAATTGTTCATTTATTGTAGCAGGTGTTGGTGGATGACATTCAAATTTTGCATTAATACGTAATTCAGGAACACTTATTGAACCAGCTTTTAACCATGAGCCAGGATAAAGACGTAATAATTGTCGAATTTGTATTGTACCAACTTTTAAAGTTAAACTTTCATTACATAATGATGTATGTATATCACACATACATAGATGAATAGGTGCTATCCAAAACAACAAAATTATGAAAGATGAAGAAGTAGACAGAATATTTCTTACTTGAATATTAACAGCATTTTCAACTTCAATGAGATTAAGATCAATTGAATCTAAACTAAATCTAAGTACATCATATTTAAGTTTTTCAGTCCATTTTGCTTTATCAATATATGGTGAACGAGCAAGAGTATATATTCATCTTCCATTATTTGCGAATAAAATTTTTAACAAAACCTAAGATTTTTTTCTAACTAAAAACAATAGAATGATATTATTTATAAAAAAAAGATTTTTTTATTTTTGATATCTTACCTGAATTTTTGTTAAACGAGCTGAGATTTTATCAAGTATAATTTCCATTTACCAAGCATATTCAAGTATTTCACGTTCAGGTGGTAAACCTTCATGCGAAAGCATTGCATGACCACGAATACTTAAACCAGATGATTGAAGACATCCAGTAGATAAATGTTGATCTGTTTTATTTCTTTAGATGAAAAAGAAAAGAATTGTTAGAGTTATTCAGAGATCGATAAATATATCATTCATATTTATTTAATTAGTAAGATCAAGATACAAATTAGAAGTAATACCTTAGCATGTTGAAATCCGATAATCTCACTTAAATGACTTAGTCTTTAGACTATTTTAATAACTAAGTAAATTTGAAAATCATACTATGATGAGGTAAATACTTGAATATCATTGTTTGGGCTTATCTATTTGTTAGTAGATGAGTAATCAAGAGTTTTTGAGATCATAAATATTTTTCTCAAATAATCTTATTCGAAAATTCTTAATACGAAAGCATTACTAAGTACTAGCCAATGGACCTAATTCGTTTTCTGACATATATCAAAAGATAAGCTGATTTGATGGGTTCAGATGAAAGTTACATTTCTTCTTTGTAGCATGTAAAGAATGTTTAGAGATTCCAATCGAATTTTAAATATACTTACAATAATCGAATCTTCGACATAAACATTAATTGGTAGAAAAAATACTTATAATCTTGTTTCATCAAGATCAATTGTCAATTCAAAGCAAAGTCGTTTACAAAAAGCTATTAGACATGGTTCATCATCCGTATGCTACAATACAAGATTTTATTAAAAGAATCAAATAATTATGTTCATTCACGATTTTTATTCTAGATGAAACGGAATGTTTGGATGAATCTAATGGAAAATAAATAAATGAACATATTTTCATAAAATAAGTTAAATTATTAAATACATTAATAATTTGTTTTGAATGGATGTTCAGACTTTTACAAATGCAAAAATTTTCTAATTGACCATTAACTAATCAAAAAATAAAAATCTCTACCTTATATTCTATTCGATTTGTTAAATTGAAGATTCATGTTAAATATTAATGTATTGTGTTGAACATTAGAATGTTTGTTAATAAAACTTGAACTTGTTTTTTTAAACAGCATGTAATAATAAATGTTGAGTTTGATAATAAATTAAAATTTATTTCAATTAATTGAAATATTAAAATAAAGAAATTTAGAGTTTTCATCTTGAGTTATATAATTATTGTAAAGATCTATTTGAGAATGATAAAGCTTTTAACCAATTTGTTGTTTTTAAAAACCAAACCGAATTTTCCATAAACATTTGTATCTTCTTGTGAATCGTATTTTTTAGAAATACATTTTGATGATTTTATATGTTTAGTTTCAATTTGTTCTTCATCTTGCTGAGTATTATCAATTTTTTGAATTTGATAAAAAAAATTTCATTAAAAATTTGATCAATAAATGCATAAGTATTAATTCCATTGGAATCATTCTGTGAATTTAAAGTTCTATTAATTAATGTTACAAATGATAAATATTTTATTAATTGATTCATTTTTATCATTTTAAATAAAACGACTCATCGAAAATCTATCAAATGTAAGTCGATGTTGTATAATAGATAAAGATTTTTTATTATCATTTGAATCTGTATCCATTTGTAATTTTTCTAAATAAATTAAAATATTTTTATTTGAATATGAATTCATTAGAATAAGTATTTGTGAAGCATTCAATGTAAAATCCGTTTTATATTCAATTGAATGTTTATCATACTTTTGTAAAATCGATGAAAGAAAACTTGGTTCATTACAAGATGTATCTTTATCTTTTTGTTGTTGTTGATTTGTTTAAAATGAATTAATTAATGAAGATAATATAAGTTGTAGATATCTATAAAGAAAAAGCAAATTTTGTTTTTGAATTTAATCTATAATAAATGAATATTGTTCTTTGGTTTTCCTTTGATAATTAAATGAAGATAAATCAAATGTAATTAAATCATTTCGTTTATTCTCTTCTAAAAGAATATATTCATAACGAGATTTTATATAAAGATGAATAACATCTTGAGAATATGTGGGTGAGCAGGATAGATATAACATACCCTTCTATTGAACCATTTGATTCAATATCATAAGTTTTTATATTTACTGATGCTTCAGTTATTTCAAATAAAATATGTAAAAATTCTTCTGTATGATATGTTAAATCTAATAATGCACATAACAAAATAATATCAATCTTAAATAAATATTTTAATACAAAATTGAATTAAAGTTGTGTTATTTGATGTCGAGATCAGTTTTAATTTCAATCTGTTTTTCAATATTTTACTTTTCTTCTTAAAGAATTTTTTGAACAGGTATCATTTTTTCAATTGTTTCATATTGTTCTTTCGTATTTGTTGAATCTTTTTGATTTTTTGATTTTAATTTCTATTAGTTTTAAAAAATAATATAGAATAAAATAAAATAAAAAAAGAACAAACTTGATTTTGTTTTTGTTGTTTTTGATCAAATGTTTGTGGATATAAAATTGTTTTCATTAATTTTAATAAACCAAAAAAATGTGTGTCAGATATTCGATAACTAATCGATGAATTATTACCATTTGCTTTTCTTCTTAAAATAAATAATAAATAATTATCTCTCATTTCCTTTTTCACACTAGATATAAGAATCTCATAATATTCCGAAGAATCTCGATATATGCTCAATTTCATAAACATTTAAAGGAAGACATTTGCTTGGTTATTTTGAATATTATTATCTTACCTCTAGGTATTAAACAAGATGAATGTCTGTTATTTTACTTTTTTCTCAAACTTAAATACGAGACTCCAGTCATATTATGTCATTAATGTAAGATGTAATAATCCTATCGTATTATAAAGTAAATGGATATATCTTTCTGTGCGTTCACCATTTTAACGAACACATGACTGGGTCACAAGACACTTTTATTTTAGTTTAAAATACGAAAAAGGTCAATGCATATTGTCTTATTGCTTCACTGATTTTAAATATAATAACCCTATCGTATTATAAAGTCAATGGATATATCTTTCAATGCACTCACCATTTTAATAATCACATACCGTGATCACGATACGCTAAGACTAAAATAACTTCAAATGATTTAAAACTGTAAGCTTACATGTCTTGCTCATCTTTTGTACAATAGAATAGAAAATATGTAATATACAGAGTTTCTTATAATCACAATTTATTTTCGGTATTATTTAACTAGAAGAAAATCATTTGTACTTACTTATTTTTGTATTGTATGCTCTTTGCACTATAGGTTCTTTTTGTTTATGTTCTATTTTCCACTTGTTATGTTCTTTTCATTAATTCAATTATTATTTTAATAAAATAATAGTCAAATTTAATAGACTGATTGTTTTTTTTTGATTTATAATACTTAAAATTTTCGTTAAAGAGTTAGTTGATATTATTATTGTTCGCTATATTTATAACTTTTGTTTACTTTTAATCTAAGAAACTGTAGATCTTTTTCACAAAGGTGATACTTTTGAAATAGTAGTCAATTTGAGACTAATTGAAAAATAAAATTCTACATGTACGTCAAATACTTTCCATCACAAAATCAATATTTATGAATTTAATTTGAATCATTATATTTTCATGTGTATTCATGTGAGATATCAATATATTACTGTTCATATATCGTTTCAGAATAGTTTAACAATTATATCTGTATACCATTTCGTGTTTTAATTTTGAATATAGCATATTTATATGTATGAAGCTGCTGATGAAATATTACTAGTATCAAGTTGTTACGAACCTCAGAAAGGTATGAACCATAATAATAGTAAAATACAGATCTATATCTTATTGTTAATATATGACAAGCAAGCAGATTTATCCTGAATATTTATTTAGACATATAAAAAGCGATGAGTATGACTGGCAATCAACGGATTCAATAAATGTTGATTAAAATTAAATGTGAAAGTATTTTTTACTCACTTAAAAGATAATTCTCAACCTTCTTATTTCTATTGCTCTAATCCTGTATCTTTGGTGTCTCTAACTCAACTTCCTATCTTAACATTTTCTATTTTTTCAAACAATTAAATTCGATGATGAGATTGTAAGCACTATATCTGGTTTATTTGAAAGAAAACGACAGAAGAGAAGAACAAGAAGAAAGAGAAGAAAAGAAAGAGAGAAAGAAAGAGAAAGAGAGGAAGAAAAAAAATAAGATGATATATTTCATCAACGTATGGTGTACATATATATGTACTTGGTTATGTGATAATGAAGTTGATGAAAGTGAATTGTTCATTTTCAAAATTTTCTTTATTCCAGCATAGTTGTGTCTTTTCGAATGATACATCTAAAAATTCATATTTATCAATTGCTCAAGTTAGTGATGATTGTCTCTGTAGAATGTATTTAAAAAAAGAAAATGAAAATCCACAACCGAAATCAACACGAAAAAATTTGTAGTTTATTGGTTTTGTAAAAACTATTTTTATTAAAGTGTTAGCATTAGATAAAATGTATTAGAGAATAAAATAAAATCTTTAGATGTCACTTCACGTATTGTAAGAAATAATTTAGCTGTAGGCTACAATTGTAATATTTGCGGCAGTTGTATCAAAACCATAGTTATTGTTTTGTCCCCATCCAATTTCGAATTGAACATAATCACCCACGTTCAAATAAATTTGACGGAAGATCAACATGCCTGAATTTTGATTAATCCACAACGATCGAAGCTCAACATTATTAATGGACAAATGTACATCTGTGGTTGCATACCCATTTGGAGCACTAGGAAGTCCCGGTGAAAAGAATATACCTTCCACATCATAGAAGCCAGCTAACGGAACTGTAAAACGAAGACACGCATGAGCATTGTTAACGCCAGGATGAAATATTAATTGACCAGGTTTCAAGTAAAATCCGTTGTCGAGTTGCACATCTATTTGACTATTTGAATTTATACCAACTAAGCCGTTATTAACGTAGTTCATACCACCTAATGTAGTACTGGTACACCATACCGCAAATCCCGACATTGTTGCTTCTTGCAGATTGCTGAAGACTGGATTTCCATAAACGTTATCCACATATGATGAATATGGCTGAAAACTCAGATGGTCAGTAGGTTGGGTGTAACCAAAAGACCAGTATGTATTAGAATTCTGAATATTAAAAGAATCATTTGGTCGATAAGATATCAATCTGGCAGCGTTGACAATAGTGACGAAGTTGCACAGCAGTAATATGAGTTGATACATGTCGTCTCGATATAGACAAGTGAAACTTATTATATGATCTAAAGGTAAATTCTGTTATTTCTGTCAGCTTAGCACTTTCGTTTCTTCAATTTCTTATTTTTCAATTATGTAACAAACGCTTGCTTGCGTAGTCGATATACGATAGTTTTCTATTCAATCCGGTTAGTTTAACAAAACAGAAATGCCTTAAGTATTTTTCATCAATAGAATATATTAGCCATAAACTTTCGATCTATTTTTGGTGTATGTTGATTGATAGTAAGAACGACATATTTAGAACCCGACTGATATCCCTAATTGCACAGAATATTTCACATTATCATACAACGCGGCTATTTTTAACTATAAATGCGTGAACAGAAAATAATTGATAGGAGATAACTAACTAATTTCTCACAGTATAATATTGATTCTCTATATGTTCTATTACTTTCTGTTCGAGATCATCGACATGTACTTTTTCTGTATTTCAAATGTTACCAAACATGTAGTAATAGTATATATCCTGGTGATATTAGCGAACAGAATGTATTTGTAACCAGGTGAGAACTAGTATCAAGACATGATCTGACAAAATTTATCAGTTCATTGACAGAATAATATCAAAATCGTGAAAAAATCTTTATTCTCCTCGTTAAGCATGATAACTGAACATTTTAGAGAGATTTTACTGATCAAAGCTTTCGCAAAAGTTTATACAATCATAAAATGCATAATAAAAAGTTTTTGTTATGATGTCAGCCACTACACTCTCTTACGTATAATCCACGTGCTTCAAGCAAATTGACATTCACGTCCTTTGCTTTTCTTACTTTCTGTACATGCGTGTTTATTAATGCGTAAACCTTCTTCCTCGATACTTCAATAATATTCACGTATCACACTAACGAAAAATGGCGATAAATGCTGCATTAGTTAGCTGTATGCATTTATAACACATTCTTTGCACATAATATCCACGAATAATCACACTATTTGTCTATTTTTTTCTTCAGACCACTTCCAGTTGTCAACTAGTTCGCTTACGATGAGTTTTATATTAATACACTTAGACTATATTTCTGCTTGCATGTATAATGCGGTTAAAGAATGGTAAATCAGATTCGAAATATTAATTAAATAAAAAGTATTATTTCTGAAAAAGAACTTCTTATTCAATTTATTTACTTTTTATTTGAAAGAATATACATAGATATCCAGTATGAGAACCTGGATTCACTATAAACTTAGAAAATTTTCCTAGAATCTATAGGAAGTGCAACCGTACTTATGTGATAGACACATACCAACGAAAGTCATTCAAACACAAACACGTCTGTTTTGAATTTAGCGTTCATTCAGTTAGGCCAATATGGGTATACTACAACTTTATCACGATTTTCCCCATATGTTTACTGAGAATATTATATTTATATTAAAGATCGTAATAAAAACTGAGCGTCTGGATGTGAATAGGTGAAAGATAAAAAAACAATGGGAACGGGTATCAACTGAATAGAATATCTCAACTTACACGTTTATACGTTTAAGTTTTACAACACTTAGTATACTTTTTTAACAAAAACTGCTCTATACATCATAGATTCAGGTATCATTAAAAAGGGACTGGCATCAACATTATAACTCACCTGTTAATTATTGTAATGATGTTTGGAAATTAATGTATGAAGATTGATAGTCGAATATCAGAACCAGTTACGTCTGTTTATATAGCAAGTCTAGTGCCGAGTTTAGTGGTGTGACGAAAACAACATTCTTGTAGCTGCTTTGTAAGCTCGGAACTACAAAATCATATAGGAAGTTTTAGTTCCTAGTTTAGTGACGTGCTACGACAATATTTACCTATGCGTACCTTGAGCTCGGAAGTACAAACTGGTTATGACTGAAGTATTAGTGTCCATATAGCTCCGAAATATAGAAAGAACGTGTCTAAACGGGTTTCTGAATGCATTTTAGAGAATAGACGCGTTTTAACCAATACTCACATTCAGATGCGTTCACGATAGAAATCTTGCTCTATTTCTCGAGGATGTGAGTGAATGTTATGAATCTGCTCCTATATATATATAATGATTAAAATTGTGTAAAAGACTACATAGATAAGAAGAATTATGTGTAACATGTTTTTAATTTCGAAAAGGTAATCTCTTTATGTGATTTAAGAACAGTAATGTTGGATCATGTTATATTGCAACTCTTCAGTTGTTTATCGGTATGCAAAAAGTGATATTTGGGATGAAACGTAACAGTGGCTTGATTGCAATCATTTG